TATGTGAGGAAATCTGGGAAGAGGTATCAGGAATGTGAGACGTACAGGGAGGAGGTATCAGGTATGTGAGGTGTACAGGGTGGAGGTATCAGGTATGTGAGGTGTATAGGGAGGAAGTATCAGGTTTGTGAGGAGAACTGGCAGGAGTTATCAGGTATGTGAGGTGTACAGGGTGGAGGTATCAGGTATGTGAGGTGAACAGGGTGGAGGTATCAGGTATGTGAAGTGTACAGGAAGGAGGTATCAGGTATGTGAGGTATACAGGGAGGAGGTATGAGGTATGTGAGGTGTACTATGAGGAGGTATCAGGTATGTGAGGTGTACAGGGGTGGGGTATCAGGTATGTGAGGTATGCAGGGAGGAGGTATCAGGTATGTGAGGTATAAAGGGAGGAGGTATTAGGTATGTTAGATGTACAGGGGTGGGGTATCAGGTATGTGAGGTATACAGGGAGGAGGTGTCAGGAATGTGAGGTATACAGGGAGGAGGTATCAGGTATGTGAGGTATACAGGGAGGAGGTATCAAGTGTGTGAGGTATCCAGGGAGGAGGTATCAGGTATGTGAGGTGCACAGGGAGGAGGTATAAGGTATGTGAGGTATACAGGGAGGAGGTGTCGGGTATGTGAGGTATACAGGGAGGAGGTATCAGGTATGTGAGGTATCCAGGGCTGAGGTATCAGGTATGTGAGGTGCACAGGGAGGAGGTATAAGGTATGTGAGGTATACAGGGAGGAGGTGTCGGGTATGTGAGGTGCACAGGGAGGAGGTATCAAGTATGTGAGGTGTACTAGGAAGAGGTATCAGGTATTTGAGGTGTACTGGGAGGAGGTATCAGGTATGTGAGGTGTACAGGGAGTGTATCAGGTATGAGATGTGTACAGGGAGGAGGTATCAGGTATGTGAGGTGTACAGGGAGGAGGTATCGGGTATGTGAGGAAATCTGGGAAGAGGTATCAGGAATGTGAGACGTACAGGGAGGAGGTATCAGGTATGTGAGGTGTACAGGGTGGAGGTATCAGGTATGTGAGGTGTATAGGGAGGAAGTATCAGGTTTGTGAGGAGAACTGGCAGGAGTTATCAGGTATGTGAGGTGTACAGGGTGGAGGTATCAGGTATGTGAGGTGAACAGGGAGGAGGTATCAGGTATGTGATGTGCATTGGGAGGAGGTATCAGGTACGTGAGGTGTACAGGGAGGAGGAATCAAGTATGTGAGGTGTACAGGGAGGAGGAATCAAGTATGTGAGGTGTACTGGGAGGTGGTATCAGGTATGTGAGGTGTACAGGGTGGAGGTATCAGGTATGTGAGGTGTATAGGGAGGAAGTATCAGGTTTGTGAGGAGAACTGGCGGGAGTTATCAGGTATGTGAGGTGTACAGGGTGGAGGTATCAGGTATGTGAGGTGAACAGGGTGGAGGTATCAGGTATGTGAAGTGTACAGGAAGGAGGTATCAGGTATGTGAGGTATACAGGGAGGAGGTATGAGGTATGTGAGGTGTACTATGAGGAGGTATCAGTTATGTGAGGTGTACAGGGGTGGGGTATCAGGTATGTGAGGTATACAGGGAGGAGGTATCAGGTATGTGAGGTATAAAGGGAGGAGGTATTAGGTATGTTAGATGTACAGGGGTGGGGTATCAGGTATGTGAGGTATACAGGGAGGAGGTGTCAGGAATGTGAGGTATACAGGGAGGAGGTATCAGGTATGTGAGGTATACAGGGAGGAGGTATCAAGTGTGTGAGTATCCAGGGAGGAGGTATCATGTATGTGAGGTATACAGGGAGGAGGTATCAGGTATGTGAGGTATCCAGGGCTGAGGTATCAGGTATGTGAGGTGCACAGGGAGGAGGTATAAGGTATGTGAGGTATACAGGGAGGAGGTGTCGGGTATGTGAGGTGCACAGGGAGGAGGTATCAAGTATGTGAGGTGTACTAGGAAGAGGTATCAGGTATTTGAGGTGTACTGGGAGGAGGTATCAGGTATGTGAGGTGTACAGGGTGGAGGTATCAGGTATGTGAGGTGTATAGGGAGGAAGTATGAGGTTTGTGAGGAGAACTGGCAGGAGTTATCAGGTATGTGAGGTGTACAGGGTGGAGGTATCAGGTATGTGAGGTGAACAGGGTGGAGGTATCAGGTATGTGAAGTGTACAGGAAGGAGGTATCAGGTATGTGAGGTATACAGGGAGGAGGTATGAGGTATGTGAGGTGTACTATGAGGAGGTATCAGGTATGTGATGTGTGCTAGGAGGAGGTATCAGGTATGTGAGGTGTACTAGGAGGAGGTATCAGGTATGTGAGGAAAACTGGGAGGAGGTATCAAGTATGTGAGGTGTACTAGGAAGAGGTATCAGGTATATGAGGTATGAGGTGAGGTGAAAGGGGGTTTAACGTCGCGTCCAACATTTTTGCGCTTATATAGCGACGTGCATGCACGTGTTTGTGTGTGTGGCTGTTTGTACTAGTCCGGACTGATACCGATTTATTGCGCTAGCACACTGAACTACCATGCCGCAGTTAACATGAATACCCCATTCAGACACAGTATACTGACTCCGAGCCGACGAGTCCTTCTTTTATCCCCTCAATGCCGAGAGCTAGACAGGGTAACAACAAGTACCATTTTTTAACGTCTTTTGGTATGACGCGGCTGGGGATCGAACCCCGGAACTTCCGCTCTCCGGGCGGACGCTCTACCATTAGACCATGGAGGAGGTCTGTATGTGAGGTGTACAGGGAGGAGGTATCAGGTATGTGAGGTGTACAGGGAGGAGGTATCAGGTATGTGAGGTGTACAGGGAGGAGGTATCAGGTATGTCAGGTGTACAGGAAGGAGGAATTAAGTATGTGAGGTGTACAGGGAGGAGGTATCAGGTATGTGAGGTGTACAGGGAGGAGGTATCAGGTATGTCAGGGGTACAGGGAGGAGGTATCAGGTATGTGAGGTGTACAGGAAGGAGGAATCAAGTATGTGAGGTGTACAGGGAGGAGGTATCAGGTATGTGAGGTGCACTGGGAGGAGGTATCAGGTATGTGAGGTGTACAGGGAGGAGGAATCAAGTGTGTGAGGTGTACAGGGAGGAGGAATCAAGTATGTGAGGTGTACTGGGAGGTGGTATCAGGTATGTGAGGTGTACAGGGAGGAGGTATCAGGTATGTGAGTTGTAATGGGAGGTGGTATCAGGTATGTGAGGTGTACAGGGAGGAGGTATCAGGTATGTGAGGTGTACAGGGAGAAGGTATCAGGTATGTGAGGTGTACAGGGAGGAGGAATCAAGTATGTGAGGTGTACTGGGAGGTGGTATCAGGTATGTGAGGTGTACAGGGAGGAGGAATCAAGTATGTGAGGTGTAGTGGCAGGTGGTATCAGGTATGTGAGGTATAGAGGAAATAGGTATCAGGTATTTGAGGTATAGAGGGAGAAGGTATCAGGTATTTGAGGTATGCAGGGAGGAGGTATGAGATATGTGAGGTGTACAGGGATGAGGTATTATGTATGTTAGGTGTACAGGGTGGGGGTATTACGTATGTGGGGAGTACAGGGAGGAGGTATTAGGTATGTGAGGTGTACAGGGAGGGGGTATCAGGTATGTGAGGTGTACTAGGAGGAGGTATCAGGTATGTGAGGTGTACTAGGAGGAGGTATCAGGTATGTGAGGTGTACTAGGAGGAGGTATCAGGTATGTGAGTTGTAGAGGAAAGAGGTATCAAGTATGTGAGTTGTACAGGGTGGAGGTATTAGGCATGTGAGGTGTACTATGAAGGAGGTATCAGGTATGCGAGTTGTAGAGGGTGGAGGTATCAGGTATGTGAGTTGTACAGGGTGGAGGTATCAGCTATGTGAGGTGTACAGGGAGGAGGTATCAGGTATGTGAGGTGTACAAGGAGGAGGTATCAGGTATGTGAGGTATACAGGGAGGAGGTATCAGGTATGTGAGGTGTACAGGGAGGAGGTATCAGGTATGTGAGTTGTACAGGGAGGAGGTATCAGGTATGTGAGTTGTACAGGGTGGAGGTATCGGGTATGTGAGGTGTACAGGGAGGAGGTATCAGGTATGTTAGGTGTACAGGGAGGAGGTATCAGGTATGTGAGTTGTACAGGGTGGAGGTATCGGGTATGTGAGGTGTACATGGAGGAGGTATCAGGTATGTGAGGTGTACAGGGAGGAGGTATCAGGTATGTGAGGTGTACTGGGAGGAGGTATCAGGTATGTGAGGTGTACTGGGAGGAGGTATCAGGTATGTGAGGTGTACAGGGAGGAGGTATCAGGTATGTGAGGTGTACTAGGAGGAGGTATCAAGTATGTGAGGTGTACAGGGAGGAGGTATCAGGTATGTGAGGTGTACAGGGTGGAGGTTTTAGGTATATGAGGTGTACAGGGAGGAGGTATCAGGTATGTGAGGTGTACAGGGAGGAGGTATCAGATATGTGAGGTATACAGGGAGGAGGTATCAGGTATGTTAGGTGCACCTAAGAGGTCACTTTGCTTGTCGTTGGACGGGATCGGGTGGTCAGGATTGCTGACTTTGTTGATGCATGTCATCGTATTCCAATTGTGTGGATCGATGCTAATGATGTCAATTACTGGATTGTCTGGTCCAGACTCGATTACTTACAGACCGCCGTCATACAGCTGAAATATTGCTGAGTTTGGCGTTAACAACAAACAAACAAAACTGAAGCATCGCAAATTGCGGAAACTATAGTAATAACCAATCGTGCAAGATAAAGCTCCTTTTCATTTGCTGATTTCTTCTTTCTGAAGAACACATTTTCTGTATTTGACCTTGAACTATGAAGGTCATTGACCTTTTGTGCCACTATCCACCAACAGTGACACTTAAGATGCAAGGTTTTCAGAAATCCCATGGAACACATTATCAAAAAATACCAACCAAAGATTTGGAAATTATATATGGAAACACTCTTGGACTACAATGGCATGTTGTGGAGAAAACTACGGTTTTGGTTGTTTCTGACAAAAGAAAGTATATGCAATTGTGATATGGAAGCATATGTTTATAGCAGTTCAATACATCATTGGCACAGGGTAATGTTACATGGTCACTTTAACGTCTAGCTGGTTAAATAAAAGTGATGAAGACGTAAAGTCTATTGTAACAGTTGCAATAGTTAAAACTGTTTTGCGATTCTGTTGCAACAGTATTGTGATATTTTGATGAGTAGCTTTACATTTCTGAAACGCACTACGATTCCTTATCTGGCCAACCATTTCTATTGATTGTGTTTAGTGAGCTCTGATAATAACCATTTCTGGAAACAAAATTCTGATTTCGAAGTACTGGTAAGGTACTCACAAGAACTTGCGCTTATCGGTTACACACCACGATGACAACAAATACGGAAAACGATAATAACGTTTATTGCGTTAAACTAAACTAAGATAGATACTCCTGTTTTAGTATGATCACATGGACACGACACTCGGTTCAAAGAAAGTAATGTTTACGTGATATAGATTACTTTCATAATTAATATCAGTAGCATGTTGTCAAACACATGATCAATTAACAAAATGACAATACGTGTCATCAACATTTCTTTTAAGGATGGGAATATCTATTTATATCTTTACACTCATTTCATATAAATTTAATACATACACTCAATGCAATCTGCAAGTTAGAAACTTAATTTGAATGCTAAAGACGTTAATTTGCATATACATGTTTTAATTGCTTCCTGAAATAAATTTCTTGGCTGATGTCATTTGCATTCCACATACATATTTAACATAACTCATAATATGGATAATATTAAATTAACACTCAGATTGTGAATCAGATTATTGTATAATAAAACTGAAGATTTTAGAGTTCACACAAACAGCTAATAGGCTCCACTCAAATGAGTTACAAAAGCAGCACAGCATAAACTAAAAACGACAAAACTGCAAGAATTGCAAAATACATATAAAGTCTTTCTTTGGATGCGGTTACTTCAATCAACAACTTTGGTAAGGGCTGTGTCTGAGCTCCTTATGTTTGAATAATTTGTTTTCCTGTGAGGCATCTTGGCTCGCCCTGGGCCCATGAATAAGTCAGACGTGCTGCTGTCATTCACCTGAAGACTGTCAGGCGTCTCGTCCTCAACTTGTTCCGTGGTAGAGGTCGACCCGGAAGTCGTCTGATCCGTGTCTACTTTACCATCACAGTGTGGATCTTCTGATGTGTGCCTTGGTAAGTATACAGGATTTGTCTCTGTGTCTGGAGGACTGTCTGGCAAATCCCTTTAAACAAAAAATATAGATGTCTTAAACGTTGATCCCACAAAAACACACCAATACATATGCATTAAGATTCGCCAATCAATGTGACGGACACACCATGTAAATCAAGCTGTAAACCATTGATGACTGTCAGATCCACATAATCAGACTCAGAATATAATTAAATATTACCATGTCTGCTGTGATGCTATAATTTGATAAAAAAGGGGCATGATAACACGAATTTAATAATATTACTTACCAAATCTTTGCTTGACTCCGAATCTTTTTGTACTTGCGACTTATGTAAAAGGCAACACCAAGACAGGGCAGACAAATGCACACAAGTATAGCAAGAATCTTCGGAATGTTCAGGACACAGTCGTAGGCCGCCAGTCTGTCTTCACAATCATACAGAAGGGAACAGGTTGCCTTTAGACATTCATTGATTTCCTTCTCACAGAACTCTCCCTCGTAGCCATCCATGCACACACAGTGATATGGTTGAAAGCTGGTTGCTCTGCCTGGATGTTCACAAGATAAGGACGTTTTTCTTGGAGCACAGGTACCATGATAACATGGGCTGATTAGGACAAACACATGGATGGACAGGGCGTGGCTGTAGCTGTTATTCTTATCAACAGCCCGGAGTGAGAATTCGATGCCCCCATGGAACTGCTTCAGCGTCTTCATCTTCAGGTTACGTTTGGTAATAGTTTTGCCCGAGTAGCTCACGGACATGTTTCGGTATGTCTCTTCATCTTCCCCTGACACACTGACGGGTGTAAGTGTAAAGTTGGCTGCCAGTCCACTTACATCCTTTTGAAGGATGTTCAACTCCTCAGGGTCATCAACATCTGCTATCCAAAACGAACCCAGAGAGTGATCCGTAAGGTTACCTTCAACATACACCTTGTGAATACTTTCAACAAACGATGGTATTGGTGACTTGGTGTCCCTCTGGTAGAAAGTGACGGGTGGATCATTAACATTTGAGACATTGAAGTGTATTCTCTTCGTAAATGTACTTGGTACTATTCCCAAATCATGTACGAAAACTTCCGTTGCATTTACAAGAATGCTATCATAGCCATTAAAATCCTTTACTGGTCGGTAGGATAATATTCCCTCTGCGGAAAGGTTGCTTTGGCCATGATCAGGATATTCTACTATTGTAAATGTTAAATTGTCATTTTGTAGATCGTGATACTTGATGGCTTGATTTACAAAGCTGTCTTCAATACATTGTACAACAATGGTGTCAATGATGGGGGGTGTATTGTTCACAAGTTTGGACACAATGGCTCCGGAAAGCATCCTTGGACTCGAGTAAGCAGTCGCTGTCCTCTTCTCACGTGTATTTGATTTTGTCAAGCTTCTCTTGAAGACTAAATTGCAGATCTGAAAACAAGGTTCGCGGTCATGAATTGATTTGGATTAGTGACTTACATCTATGCCTAGGTAATAATATAATAATGATATCAGGGAGACATGGGCAGTAATCACACAGTTACACCAATTATCAATAGCATGTATCCAATACATTGAGGTCCCTTAATAAATTAGGCCGGTCACAGATTCACAGAGGTTGTCACACAAGCAAATGTCAAACAATAAGTGAAATGCTGGGCTCAGATAGATACAAATTGTGCTGCACTTTTTGTATTATGAAATGACCCATACAGACTGAAATTGAAGCAAATTCATGAAAATACAGATTTGCGTTAACAGGGGTTGCTAATTGCAATCTCTATGTTGTCTACACTTGTAAACTACCCCGTTCACGCCCCCGTTTGAGACCCTAAATTGTTAATAATACTGGTGACAATTATCCCAGGAATTTGTCCAGATCTCCGAATGCCACTTCTGACTTGATAGCCGATAGACAAGGGAAAAGCCGATAGACAAGGACAAAGGTCATCACATACAGTTATATCTAATCAGGTCAAGAACCATTAATAGATATCATGTTTATTAACTCGTGTTTCAATAATGAATACTCATAAATATTGTTTACAGTAGTTTTTAATGAACCTCTTAAAATGAGGTTAATGAGTGAATATCCTTAAAATGACCTTGAACTATGACACAACCTTGACACTTGACAGGTTTTAATAAGTTAATTTAGGTAAAGTATATATGTTCGTAAAAGTGACATTTAATCTTTCCTTTAGTTTTGAATCGGTAAATCGTATGTCTTATTCAGAGTAGATCATTAGCAAATATAGTGTAGAATACTTGCACCGGTGTATACCGAAATCAATTAATCACCTGAAATGTATGAAGATCACTCCTCGTGGCGTCATTCCTCAAAGATGAAGTACCACAGATTTCACTGACATGGCGCCAGACTTTGTCACCTGTGTGCAAAAATAAACTCACGATGAATATAATAATGAACAGTGTTTCCCTTCAAAGTGGAGCAGAGGGATAGCCTAGGTGTTAAAGCTTTTGCATTTCATGCTGATGTTGCAGGTTCGATTCCTGACACGGGTACCATGTGTAAAGCCCATTTCTAGTGTCCTTTGCCATGCTATTGATGTGCTATTGCTAAAAGCGGCATAAAACCATACTAATTCACTAGTTGTAATTATGATACAACACAGTCATGCTAACGAGGTGGGATAGTCGTATTTGTACCTGAGTCCCATAGAATGATCGCTGATTCCAGGTGTTCGTCAGTTGGGGATATTGGCAAATCAACGTTGATGGCTTCTTTAAGTTGTACATTGCTGATTGGAGACAGGTAGAACGTGGGACTAACAACATTGTAGAGTCTGCACAGAAGCATAATGAACATGTTTAGAATCTAAATATTGTGATTATTCGGTATTGCTGCACCACGTCATAGTGTGGAACACAAAATAATTATTAGTATTTATTGGAAGTGAGGTTGGTATCCTTAGATTCATGTAAATAGCAGTACAGGGCAACATCGATACTAATATGTACATGCACTTGCTTTAGAGAAAAAGCTTCACCTTCCAATGAGGAACCGGGACAGCTGTGTCGATGTGATGTCAGGGCTGACGATGTAAGGGGAATAATCCACGGCGGCTGGAGCACCGTAGGCCTTATGTTGGTCTGCCTCGCTCAGTACACCAACCGATAAGGCGCCACTGGAAACTACACAACTGCAGCCATTTAGTACGTAGTAGAGTTGAATATGTTTACATAGAAAACAACTCCATTATAATTGTCTGGAAATTTAAGTAAGTTGACACATATTACAACATTAGCAACAACTGCACAGTTCTTCTGTTCGACAATGACATAATAAATGCTGCGTGTTCTGTCTGATCAACTTACCTGCCACTGATAATTTGCAAACAGAACGGTTGTTCTTTGCAGATGACTCGGAGATGGTATCGCCATCAATCACAAGTGTTTTGTTGGTGCCCTGCTTTACGATCATGTCTTTCTTGCCTGGACAACATACAATATCACTAGATTGTATTAAAATAACAAAATAATTACACTTGTAATATGAACGATAATATGTTGTTTGTTTATTGTTTAACACATCAGCAATATTTCAGCATCATTAGGGCGGTCAGTGTATGATCGAACCTGGCCCAGGCAAACCAGTGAAAGATAATATTGGCGACTTCTTACGCAGTCTGTGTTAGGTGAGATGCAATCAACCAAATCACCGAGCCTGGCCACCCAATACATAGAGCCAGTTCTTATAAGGTAATCAGGGACTTATCTTAACCTGGAATCCCCACAGGGGAATAATATGTTGACACATTTACACGACACATAAACAAATACGTAATTAAAAAAGTACGTTTAATGCAGGTCTTCTTTGACGTCAAATCTGTTTTCTTGTGAGCTCTACTGACAGATGTCACTGTCTGGATGACACATTTGCCTGGTTCCAGAAAGAGAGGACTATTCTTGAAGTCCGCACTCTTGAGGCCATCAGAGAAGTTTCTATTGAGAAATTCAGACACTGACGCATTGACTGCACCATGAGAAAGACTAATATCCCCCTTCAGGACCTCGACACGTCGTGTTGAGTTTGAACCCACCCGCATTGTTGGATATATTTCTTCTACAGAATCTTCACTAGCCAGTTGCCAGTCTGAAACATAAATTTAATCTCATAAACATAGTTTTAGGAATGTTGTTCAAACACTTATGAAATGGAGAGAAATGGTACGGCTGAACTATGCAAGATTCACGTTTACCCACGGGCACGGGTAGGGTATTGAAAAATTAAGGATAAAAAACAGTAATAAAGTTTGGGTAAGACACCTCAGACCACCTTTCCAAACAGCACCAATCACATACTGTTCCATCTGTACACAGTTATGGAACTCTTTGCCTTTGAATCTGAGAAACTCTGCTTCTAAGGAAACGTTGAAGTCTCTCCTCAAAACCCACTTCTTCACTTCAACTTTTCAATAGATCTCCTGATTGTTGGCATATGTACATAGACATTACTTTTTAACTTTGTCACAGCGCCAGTGAGCAACTGTCGATGGATATTAGGCGCTTTACAAAATTAATTATTATAATTATAATAATAATGTACCTATGAATACTATACATACATGTAGGTAAAAAGGAAGAAAATCAAGATGGGTCTCACCAAAATAGTCCACATCACTATGTGGATCATCCCACTTGATTCCAACCCGGTCATTGTACTCAGTAAGTGAAACATTCAGTCCAGGCACATGTTCTGCTGAGACAAACAGTGGCACTGGTTCACTAGAGGAAATGTTTGGGGACTTGATGTCAATGATAAATGGACAACATGCAGTGTGGTTCAGACCAGCAGAATTTACCACAGTAACACCAACAAAATACGTTTGATCCTGTTGAAGATTTTCTTTTGTTGAATTCAAAGTGACATTCTTCAGTCTATTATGAAGGGGAAGTTGAAGAATATCATCTAGTCCACATTTAGTTCCAATTCCAACAACAACGGCGATGATGTCACTGAAATCCTCTGATATCTCCCAACTAGCACTGACAGCATGGTCATTTCCAATGAACATAGCAGGTTCATACATGGAGTACTCAGGATCAAAGCAGGTCACATCAGTTACCACTGGAGGTGTTGTGTCGATGATGATGGCGTCAGACTTGATTTCTGTTTCATAACCAGCATGATCAGTTACTTTCACATCCAGATAGTAGGCACTTAGGTCTGAATCATTGTAGTTAATGCGATCAGACATCTGAGATGGCGCCAGTGTCAAGTTGCTGAGCTCGAAGTGCTTGATTGACAATCCCTGTAGTTCTGTACTCTGAGAACAGGAACCTTCAAAGCCACAATTTTCTTTGCAAAGATCCTTGCAGGGAACACAAAATGACATTTGTTTTTCATAAGGCGCAATATTGGCAGTTGTATTCTGAGAATCTGACAGACCAATGAAGATATCCTTCAGCCCACTCTGTGAATCATAAAAAGCTCTTCCATACCTACATGGATTTATTTGCTGGAGCGGTAGTCTCACTGATGAGAGGAGAAGGTTAGTTGTGAATGGGTCAAACGGATCATCAACGTGTGGAATATTTCCATCATTGTTCCAGGTGAACACTGTAGCTGCCATATGTCCTAGAATGTTCAGTCCAGCATGTTGTCCCTTCAACTCACCATTGACGAAAAGATTTATATTCCATGAATCTGCTGATGGTGTTGAATCATTTATTGCTTGAAAGGAAAAGTCGTTCAGCGATACTCTCGGATCAAAGTCTACATGGACACTATGAACTTTGATTCTTGATTGATCTTTGGCCCAGAAAAGAATCAGCGGCTTTGACGTGTTGTCATTTATAGTTAACAGGACTCCAAGGTTCCAACTGTCATCATCACTTGCTGCAGTTTTTTCCCCATCAGGACATGCACTCCCATTGCAGTTATCTATAAATATCTTCACGTAAGCCTTTAGAATATCATCAGGATTTGGAAGATTTCCTTGAACAAGACCAATGACAGATGAAACATGGCGTCCTGCGGTAGCTTGAAGTGAAAATGAATAGTTCCCTTCCGTTAGTACCATCGGGTTCGTTTTCACTGCTCCCTTTTCAAACAGTTGCAAAGAGGGGTCAAGTCTTGCATATATCTTGACCTGGATATTGTCTAAAACATCAACAGCGTGAGATTGGAAGACACCATCTAAGATAAGTATTTCCTGTTTATAGTCATTCTTCAGTACTTCTCTCTCAGTTTGACATGTAGAATCATGAATGTTGGTGTTGATGAGTATTGTGCCTTGTAACAGGTTCGTATCACCCCAAGACCTTGCACTGTACCTCCAGTCTGACCCAAACTTTATGTTTCCAGTCACTGGAGGGTAATAATCAGCTAAAATAGGTTGACTTGTTACAACTTTCTTCAACCCTGCCTTATTAGCTGCGGTAACCTGTATATAGTATGGCCTGGTTGTGTCCAGCATGATATCGTTGAAATGGGCATTGGAAGTTGAGACAGTAACAGAGCGTAAAATATTTGTTTCTTTGGTGAAAACTGACGTTGAATCAGTGCAGAACGATCCTCCTAATAAAGTCACTGTGTAGTCATCAATGAAACTTTCTTCATCTGTAAATCCTGTCATGTTTATATGAATGGAGTGCAGTTGCGTGGCATACAGAATACCAGATGACTGTCGACCATCAATACTCACTTGTCCTGGTTGAGGTGGTGTTGTATCAATTGTAATTGGTTTACTTGATGCAATCCTGCACATTCCTGCCTCATCTTCAGCTTTGACAAGGACATAGTAAACATGTGAATGATTTAAATGTAGACCTTTTATAGTTTTTATCGTGTCTTTGTTGACATGTTCAAATGGCACAAGCGGCTGAAACACAATATTCTGACATTCCAAGCTGGTATTTGACTCTGGATATTCTTCAGTATCAACAGCAACCTCATATTTCCGAATGTTGAAGTCAGATATAAAATCAGACCATGATACTTCTATTTCACTTGTACTGGATTGGTACTCAGCAACTTCTATATCTCCTGACACGATGTCTGTTCCAAATCCAACTCTGATTCCATTTGAAAATGACTCTTCATAACTTCCGGCAGAACTGTATGCCCTCACTGTGATGTAATATGTTACTGTTTTCGCTGTTAGATTTAAATGCTCAAAAACATAACTTCTGTTCAGACCAACATTTTCAAAGTAGTGAACATTGGATCTCCTATCTGCATATCTCCGGTCATTCCCTATAGCCACTTCATAGTATTCTATTTTCTGTGATGGGTCCATATCATCAATTTCTCCAAACGGATCCCAATTTGCTGCAAGGTAATTTGTAGGGAGCTGGTAGTTGATGTCAGCAGCAATGCCATCTCGAACATTCCCAGGAACTGGAGGCTTAATCTTGACCATCACACCATCAGATCTACCTTCCATGGTGCGGTTCAGTGCATCGGTGGTTCTCACAATGACTCTATATGTCTTCATATACCCCAGTGTAAGTTCATCATTGTAGAAGTTATGCCCATTTCCAGGGGTGTGTTCAAATTCTTTGATAAGCTCCCCTGTGATGTCCTCTACTGCCCACTCAGCTGAAAGAACTGGACAAGGATCAGAGTAGACCCAGCTACCCTGAATGGTCGACAGATCATGTTGACTGTCAACGTCATCAGATCCTGCTCCATCCAAAACAACTAAGTAGGGTTTAGGGCTGACAGCCACTGGGTTACTTTCTTTTACCGTGAACAGCCCGGCTTTGTTGAATATACGGACACTGACGAAGACAAGGGCTCCAGTTTCTACGTGTAAATTTGAAAGTACAAACAGTCCATCAGACAAACTGACTTTTGTGAATGGAACAATATCCGTCAGTCCTCTCTTACTCCCAAGTCCTGCTTCATACCTGAAACATACAACAATTCTTCTAGTATAATGATTATAAGGAAGGTAGTTCAAAAGGAAACAACTTTGTATGAATAGATGTTTCAATAAACTTAGGAACACTATTGTTACATTTTTATCAATGTTAAGTAAAATGTGTACTTGTCATTCACCTGTCGATCTGTGATTCGGGGTCACTGAATCCATTCACAAAGGCAGATATGTATGATGTTTGATGCTGACAGCCAACTTCCTGTTTCGATGATAGGTTAGATGATGTGACTATTGTGAGTTCCCCAATGGTTGGAGGTGTCTGATCAAATATGATTTCTTTGAAGAATTTACTGTGCAGATGAGCACCATTGTCAATTTCTAGAGTAACAGACAGAGATGAAACGCCATCTTGCAAAACTCCATTTGTGTCAAAGCTCCAAAGTCTCTCAGTCGCAGATAGTCTTGAAACCACTAATATATGCGAATTGCCTGGTCCTGTTCGTGCAGTGATTGAAACGTTGGTGATGGTACTTTCTGCTTCTTTAAAAAACCGCCAAGAACATGTTACAATTGTTAACCTCATTGATATGAAGGGTGTACAATCATAGTCTATGACAGAAGCTGGGGACTTATCGACTGTGATTGGAGGCGAACTTATGAAAGCCACGTTGCCTGCCATATCAGTGCTATATGTTGTCACGAAATATGTGTTGTTTGCTGAAAGACTTATCTCCAATGGATCAAGACCTGACTTTGAAATATTGGCTTCATGTTTTTCGCCAGAGAGTGGGAGGTTCCCTATTGACCAGGATATCACAGACTTCATATTTGCATCCTCTACAGACCATGTCAATGGTAGACTTGTAGTTTGGTTTTCAAACACAACGGATGACGTCATCATTTTATCTCTGTACTGTTGTTTTATCACTGGAATTTCATGGTCGACCATTACACCATTTGACGAGGATACAATGTATGATTCCTGACATTCCACACCAGTTACAGCCCGGACTGTAACAAAATACTTCACATTGTTGAAGTTTGTATTTGTTATTTCCGCATATCCTGCACCGTCACCGACCATCGTAAGTCCATAGTTCGTGAAATGCATTATATCACTAAGGTATGGTTGTGTTCCGATCGCCCAGTCGTAGCTGGTTATTCCACATGCATCGCTACCAAAGCCATCGAATGACATAGCTAGACTCGAAAGATCCCGTTGGAAATCTGTATCTTCACTGACACTTCGACCATCGTAGACTGTTCCAGGAGAATTCCCCTTCTCTACGTGTATTGGTCTTGACATAGCTTCTGCGGTCAAGCCTGCTCTATTTATAACTCTGATAACTACAAAGTATTTGGCAATGTCATCTGATATAAGATTGAGAGCATCCACTGTTACAGATGACGTGCTTCCATAGCTGGTAAACTGTTCACTTTGGGTGCACTGTATGACATTGTCCTTCACACAAAGCAGGCTTTCAGCTATGCCACTTTCCGGATCACGAGCTGTCCAAGACACATGCATTGGCTGATCCTCCATGTGGATTACATTTCCCAAATCATCAAGCTCCTCCTCTTGTCCAGGTAGACCTATCATTACCTAGAACATGTAAAGCAATTGTTGACATATATAATTATAGATGTATTTGCTTGAATATTTGTAGCATTGTATAAAGTTTTCTTGACAAGAATCGTGGTAGCGTTTGCATATAAACTTCTTTGGTTCGTTGGTTTGTTGTTTAACGCCGCACTCAGCAATATTCCAGCTATATGATGGCGGTCTGTAAATAATCGAGACTGGACCAGACAATCCAGTGATTAATATCATGAGCACGATCCATGTAATTGGGATTGATGACATGCATCAACCAAGTCAGCAAGCCTGACCACCCGATACCGTTAGTCGCCTTTTACGACAAGCATAGTCACCCTTTATGGCAAGGATGGGTTGCTGAAGACCAATTCCTCCCCGGAATCTTCACGAGTCCTTATAAACTAATTTGAATTCAAATACATAAGATTTGAGTACTATTTCAAAAAGTAGAAATACATCATTGTGTCCTCATTGTCATCTTGAAAATAAAATAAAATTATCTTTTGGTTAATTCAAATGTCCTTTTGAACTACTACTGAATCCCTATTATTTTGTAGGATGGTGATACTCACTTTCTTTACAGTTGGTGCTGTAGTGTCAATAAGAACTCCACTTGATTCTACTGATGTTGCAAGAAGAGCATTGTTGAGAGCTGTGACGGATGTTGTATATAAAGCCCCATTTGTAAGAGGAAGGAAATCCAACTGTATGTCTGCCTTTTCAACTTCAATGACTGCAAATGTCTCATCTTTTGGCCAAAACCTTTTTTTCTGACCCCCGATCTTTTCAAATATAGTGTATCTGTATTCCAGGATGCCTGACTCTTCATCTGTAAAATACCACTTGACACCAATGTGTGTAGAATCGCTCTGGTATTTGCCTGTTTGAGAATCTTGTATATAAATCATGTTGGGTGGTGTTTCGTCGACCAGATACCCATCACTGTCTGCCGGTGTTTCAAGTCTTGCTCCATTTATTGCTGTGACTTGAACTCGGACATGGTCCTTGTGTTTTGTGCTCATTGTATGATCAGTATAACTGGTCACGGATCCAACATGGAATTTCTTTTTTAGTTCATCATTTACAAATACCATCATTGTATATTCTGGTACATGGCTTTCTGGGTCAGTGAAGTTGGCCCAGGAACTTGCAATAGTGGCCGTCTCAGAGCTGAACTCCACATCACGCAGAAGATCAGCACCATCAAAGACATAACCAAGCAGTGGAGGTGTTGTATCTACCAGCACTGAAACAAAAAGTGGAAAGGTTTAATTGTCAACACTATCCGAATGAAATCATAATGGTCAGGAACGTGGAAAGACCGAGTCCTCGTTTCACAGATTTCTATATACCATTTTCTTCTTCCTCTTGCCATTCTAATCTGTATCTATATCTATATGTCTATAAATGTACCTCCATTAGAAGTTGCCTGAATTTCCTTCTGATTGATTGCCCCGTTGAAAGCAACAACTGTTGAATAGTATGTTGTGTTGTGGTGCAGAGTTGTGACATTGCAGGCAGCTTTAACATGATGCGTAAAATTTGTAAAAGGAAGAAGGTCGTCAGCTCCAGCTGTTGTTCCAACACCCCAGAGATAACTGAAAGTATTAATGATTGTCACATTAATTCATTCAATAACTAGGATATAACAAAAAGTATATGATGTATGAGAATGAGGTACTGCAGAAATGTGGTGCAGAGATGTCAACCACGTGACACGCACATGACATGCACTTGTTGGGCTATGGGATTTCATTTGCATGCCATTACGATGTTACAGCAAGTGAACTTAGATGCAGCGACTGACGGAAGCCCAACGCAACAACGCCAGGAGAACAGGAGAAACATATTCAGCTGTAGTCAGATTTTAGCATGCAGCACCAAACACCTTTACAAGACTTTGGAATCGTAATCAGACACACGGGAAAAACACGTGACCTTCCCAGTTCCGGTAGACCACGAGAGCACAGGACAGATCCATACAGCTACACCACTAACGTGCAGGAACCACCACGGATACCTCTATAACTATGGCAATACCAGGATATTGCATAGGATATCAGCCCAGACAGTGAGGAACCATTTCTGCGTTGAAAGTAATCGTGTTGGACGAGCAGTTCGAGGTGTCATTTTGACGGATCTGCCTCGTCAGCTGTGACGTCAATGGTGTCAAAGTCAAAGGGTATGGCGACAATTGCGATGGAGACAAGTTTGGTTTAGTGACGAGTTTACAGGCATCGCAAGTTACGTTTTGCAGTAAACTTCGTACAAGAAGTGGACAGATGTGGTGGTGGTGGTGAAAGTGTGATGATGTGGGCAGCAATCTCCTACTCTGGTCCATCCATCTGTTTGACTACCAGTTATATGATGTATGAAATATACATCTAAAATCACTTTTGCATTCTTTTTTGAAGACTATATATTAATGTTACTGGAAACCGATTTCATAAAAACCTATAATATTGATATATAGTGCATTTAAGAAGTAACTGGTGTCACTTACCTGTCAATACCAGATTCTGGATCATAGAAATCTACCCACTGTGAACAAATCATGTCAGTATCATGTTGATATTCAATATCCTGCAGCAGCTTGTTCCCATCAAGTACTCTACCAATGACTGGAGGTGTAAAGTCAATCAGTATTGGGACATCACCATGGCTTGCAGTAGAGAGATCCACTGTAACCAAATACCACAGCAGTGTCAGGTGATAGAAAAGATTCATACACAATTAATAATTGTCCAATATGCAGTTTTAGTTTGCAGTTAACAATGTTAGTGAAGCTTCTCCTTACCTGAATTTACGGCTCTGATTCGCACCCAAGCCTGCACACCTGGTGCTAAGCCAAGATCTTCTATCACAAGGTATGGGTCGGCTCTGTTTAGGAAGGGATGACGACTGTAGGATCTCACAAATACGTCATACTTTGTTTTGCCAAGACCAAAGTCCACCCTAGCAATACCTGATCCATCGTCTGATACATTGAAGTAGACGCCCAAGATATCAAAATCCTCATCAAACAACAGATCCCCTACCTCATGTACAACTGGCTGTGTTGTATCAACTGTTACAGGTGTAGAGTGACACACCGTTGTAACCAAGGCTCCTCCATGAACAACATTGTTGATAGCTTGGAAGGTTATATAGTACTGACCATCAGCCAGATGGAGGTTCTTGCCCAGTCCGGTATATGTCCAGTCTTGCCTGGTTTGCAGCTGAGCATGTGGATCGGTGAAGTTCACAACATCAGATCCGCACACAGATGTCCCAGCAGCCCACGTGTAGCCCCAAATACCACTCTCGTCATCATGGAATCCATCACAGTTTCCTTTATAAAAGTAAACAAGACAACAATGGCAAAAAACACATTGAACATATTAGTCACTGTTATACTAAGAAATATATTTTGCATATCACCACAATGTGTCTTTGATAGGCATTAGAAGTTGGAGGGACACAGAGACACAGGGTATATGTATTTCATGATGCAACTATCTAGTGTCCCAGTACAATTCGATATATTTCCAAATGTGTAATCACGTAGACCATGGAATGGTATACCTTGGAAAAACAGATTACCTGAAATATAGTTGTTAGCGAGCGTATACTTTGAATCTTCAAGAGGTTTGTTGCCCCCAAAAACCGTTCTTCCAGCATTCCCATCAATTATGTTTCTGTAAAAGACATTTATTCCATGTTATTTGTTCTTTGGTATATAATATGTGTGTATACCATTTTGTGAAATCATATTACACATAAAAAATAACACAAAGAAGAAGTACGTTAGTTTGTGAGGTTTACCTGTGGTTGAGCTCCTTGGTAACATCAATGCATCTCTGAGTAACAGCTGCCTTACATCCATCTGCCCGTAACACATCAGAGACAGCTTCTCCCACAGGACCAGGTTCTGGCGGAGTGAAGTCAGCTAGAGTCCCTGTTGATGGCAGGTAGGCAATGTATCCTAGAGTGTTGGTGATCTTTGCATTAACAAAATACTGGGCGCCATGTTCAAGTGATGAGTGGGAGAATTCGAGAAATGCACTGTAACCAACACCAAGCCTTTCGTGGTGAAAATATGATGCAGCAAGATGAAGTTTTGCATTTGCTCCTACTACAGTTTCCTGCAGATCACATGCCTGAGTATGCATTTCATAGTCAAAGGAAATACATTTTGATCCTGTCTGCATACATAGTCTTGCACATTCAATATCATTAACTGCATACGATGTGGAAAATGGAGCAGACGACAACTTTCCAGCCTTAGATGGGGCAAAATATTTTAATGTGGACAAGACGCCTTGTCTCTCATTCGTGTTTTTCAAGTAAAGAATTTTCCAATCCAAAATTTCTTTTCCGAATTCTCCAGGACTGTATCCCACAGCAACCGAATGATTAGGTGTAAGTGGAGAATCTTCAAATACGACAACATTGGCTTGGATCACTGTCCTATGACTTGTAAACTGATAGCCAGCATCCACTCTTCCATCTGGAACTGTATTGTCAAAGGTGTCGAGCATGCACATAGCTGTTGCCTCAATGCCTTGTTGGTTTCTAGCCCTGATAGTCCAATACAAAGGAACTCCATGAGGCAATGAGATTGTGGGTAATGTTAAGGAGGGCCCTCTCATCTCAACCAATGATCTCACATCTCTGCCACCACGAGAATTACCAATACTATAGTGTAGAGTAAGGGGGCTATTTTCATCTTCACTGTCAACTTCCAAGATGAATGCTGTGTCACTGGGATGTCTTCCATCAAGTTGCCGAACTGAGCAACTCCCTGACAAGGACCTCTTCCTGTGGTCACAGTTAGGGAATCGTGGTGGAGTTTTATCGTTCAGATCAACTCGGTGTTCCCAGATGGTACCAGTGTATGTGGGGCTTCTCCAATGCCATATGTCAAAATGCATGTTGATAATGAAAAGTATTTTAACCCATGCTCTTAATCGTAGTTCAAGTGGAGTCAACTCTACATTAAGTTTTTTTCTGAAATATAAGATGAATTCTGTCTTAAGTTACATACTGATATATATCATAATTTTATGATAATATATAAACCCCCTTAAAAGAAAAATAAACTTACTTATCAATGGAAGTTGCAACTCTAAAGTGATGCAATGAAATAATATAATGGGTCAGTGTACAAGAAAAGAATGAGGAGTGCCCAAACACAGCTACCCTTAAAAACACAATACAACAGACACCGATGTCACAATGATCAGCCATTGTGCAATGGTCACACGAGATTTAGCAATGCAGGCTACCCTAAAACCTGCTCAAGGTGATCAAGTCTGAGGGCAAACCTAAATGCATTCCCTGTGATCTCTCGATCATATTCAATTGTCAGCATGAATGAAATCATAGTGCTCAATGTGGATGGGTATTATCATCCATAAAGATGATAATCTCTTCCTCATAACACACCAAGCAGACCACCCAGTCTGATGACAAGACCAGTAAGACACCCGGGTTGTATGCCAACATACACCAGAAGGATTCCCACTCCTTTTGTGAAGTGATATGGTCAGTAAATCATTCCTTCAGACACGTGCCTGCCATTTTTGAAATTTAGAAAGCATCTGGATTAATCCGTGAAATGCAAAGGTTGCTCGTGGTTGACACTGTTAAGATAGTGATTCACTGAAAGCGTCATATCCTTCAGCACCACGACCCTTCTGTGCATAAAATCTATTCCAAAATGTCTGTTTGCTAATGCAGGTCCCTGCCACCCTTAAAAGTTCATTTTAAAGAGGTCGCGGCTTGATGAATCTCTTTCCTGGGTAAATGTGGCCAAGAAATGGCACGCTCTCAGAAGTTTCAACCTTTGAAGAACTGTGTTTGGTCTATCTTTGAGATGACCAGTTTAGCACTCATACTCCATGCAGTTATGTTAAGCGCTGACCAACCTCTGTGGTAACAATGAGGCACCTAACCTTGATGCAGGTGTATGCATGCTGCTTGGCAGAATCATTTTCAAAGTGCTTGGTGCTTTCAAAGGTGTTTTCAAGAAAGTTAGGGTATTTGAGTGCATACATTTAAGTTTCACTTGTTGCATCATTTGAGGGTTGAATCCTGCACTGATAAATAAGTTATGCACCATACATTGTGTATTGCTTAAATATTGTGCATGAATTTACATAGCAGGGGAGTAAAACACTATTCTCAATTTATCAGTTTGTTCTTTCTCCAGTTTTTTTTATACCGCTGATCTTATGCCAAAAACATGATCCAAAGCATATTCGCATTTGTTATTAAACAATGACTACTTATATGTACTCACATGGCAACAGCTGGTACTTTTGCGTAGTTCATCTCCAGTATAAAAGGAAAACTTGTTCTCATCAGCCATCCAGTAAGAGATATTCCAGCAGATGCAATTACGATAGATATGCCAAAAGATACTTTGACTTTTCCCGCAACAAATGGTCCTATTCTTGTCTAATACACAATAGAACAATGATACATATATCATACAAATTCTGTAACATCATAATATTCGTTCACAATACTACCACATGATTGACTACACTTTACCCGATGGGGCAGTGAGGTAGCCTAGTTGCCTGGGTTCATGTGAATCCCATTTCTGGTGTCCCCTACTGTGATACTTCTGGAATTTTGATAAAAATTGGATATAACCCAACTCACTCATACAACCTCACAGTTCCATAACAAAGTCTTCTGCATTGTATATTCAATGTGCACTTAAGTTCAAACATGATGTGGTATTAGACTCACCGACATAGTTGATTTGACTGCCTGTACATCCACAGAAACTTCTTGACCAAGCTCTGCGCCAGCATCTATAGCTGCAATGAAAGATGTGAAACATCATATAAAACATCCCAACAAGCACCATGTTTACTTCAATAAAGGGCAGAATAACTAGCTTAAACAGTAAAACAATTACAAAATGTTGTACTGGATAGAATAGATAGCACAGAATGGCATGGGTAAAGCCAGATATCATATTTAAAGGAATAAGAAATGCCTCTGTAAGGGCTACTAACAAGGAAAAATCTGAAAGAACCAAAATACAAGTAATTACATTTGACAATTGATCAAAGAAGACGGCAACTGTGTAAGTAACTCTCGGTATTACAGTTTTGACCTAAACGAAGTACAAAATCAGGTGTTTGGCAATCATTCTAGTGAGTATATTGGTTCAATTATTAATCTATATTGTAACACATCAGGGTACAGACGCATAGATACAAAATGTTTTTGCATTATATTCAAACACAGAAGCATTTACACTTTTTCTGGACTGTGAATCCCATTCTGGTGTTCCCTGCCATGAATTTGCCAGAATTTCTACCATGACATTGAAGAATGCTTGATTCTGTGTGGTTCAAAAGAGAATTCCTATTTGCTACGGAAGCCCTTTTTTAATATATTAAGCATTTTCACACAAAACAACGTGCGTATGAATACATTTATAGCCTACATATGGATTCATATTAAATGGCCGCTGATCGATCACCGATAGGAACTGTAAAACGTATCGATATTTCCTCTATTACACGCTGAGTTAACGAAATTAACTGACGGCCTAGCCTCTTATAGAAGAAATACTTTAGTTTAATATCGGATGTATTTGGCGACGATATGATGTTCTTGGCCACATCACTGACAGTACCAGTCTGAAACAAACTATGCCTCAATGCTACCGTTATGAGAACGTTGACCTTGACCTAAGCCATGAGCTGCCAAGAAATTGAGAGGACATGTGTTATTACAAATGTTACTATTTTAATATGTGACTAATCTTGACATTTAACATGACCTTGACAGAAGAAAGTGCTTTGGTAATGTTAATTAAAAAAATGCTTGGTATTGTATATAAATAATTAAGGAATACATGTTTCTTGACGCAAGAGTGACCTTGACATTATTTGGAGGGCATCGAGATGCTTCTCAATTTAAGATCAATCCTTGAGATCATATACATAAAATGTTAAACATAGGAACATTACTTGCCAACTTAAGTGGTGTTACTAATATATGATCTCCATACCATACTATAAATACTTCCTGGATAAAACAGTTATGAGTGAATGGCCTTCAAATTAACCTAGATATTTGACAAAATGTTTATGGATGTTGAGTTGGGTATTTAGGGTTTATTCTAACTGATTGGAAAAATCGTTCTATTTTGGTAAACTGTGAGCCAATTTCGCAAAATGACATTGTGTCACCTCATGCACACACACACACACACACACACACACACACACACACACACACACACATAAACACACATACATAGACACGCACACGCACACAGACACACACACACATAAACACACAAACATAGACACGCACACGCACACAGACACACACACACATAAACACACATACATAGACACGCACACGCACACCTAATTCACACAGTATCATCGTGAACTTCAATGTTATCCAGTCGTACGCCGTTATCAGTCTTCCGCGTGACGAGCGAACGCTTTAACCTCTAGGCTACCCGACCGCCATAAAGGGTATTATGAGAGATATGAGGACCTGCTGTGATGTCTCTAACATAGATGTCATTGTTGTTTGTTTGAGAAAATCAGTTCCACGCATGGGCAGAAGAGCTCACATTTGAGCAAAGACACAGTAGTTGTGCCTTACTACAATGCCAACTATCAATCCCGTTGTTGGAGACCAGATCAAACATAAGATCCAAATAGAAAAAGGTTCTCTTTGGAATTTGGTAAGACTATTATTTAGCATAACGTTTATGTTAATAAAGCTTAAACCAAGTATTCCACAGTTACAGATTGGCCCATTTTCGATGCCAAGTGTCTAGATTGTTTGCTTTATATTCGAAACCAGGTGCAGCCCCATTGTTAACTTTTCGTGAAGTCTCCATAACGTGAAAATTTAGATAATGTGAAATTAATGGGCATTACAAGTCAAATTCTTTCAAAACCTGAAATCTGCCTCATATCAAGAAGTTGCTTTACCTGTCATACCGTAATCTTCAAAAGAGGTTACTTACATATAACAAACACAACAGGTCCTGCTGGATATCGGAAAGTCATGAGACCAGGTGGGAAGAAAGGAAAGTAGAGGGGTTTTCCATTTGGATAGTCCTGTTTGTCTTCATAATCATCTTCAGCTTTCATTTCGTCTGTTAAAGCCCCAGCTGGGTCAGCTGCATGCTCTATTATCTGGCAAGAAAATATGATCATTAGAACAATTTTAAGAACAGCTGAAATTGCCAAACACTTGGTATTCCAAAGAAACATAGTTCACACTGCCTGGTGGTGCAGTGGGAAATAAATGGTTTATAAAACGTAACAATAGGAACATTGCTAAAACGAATTGGCAGGTTAAAGTAGTGCGTTATTAATTAAATTGGAATAATAAAATACAAAAGACATTTATCTGTTCTTCATACAGCAAAACAAAAGAGGTCTTCACATTTTTTTTGTTATTACATGACCAATTGTGACACCAATATTACATTGATCCCAATATACTACAATGACATACATCATAAAGGTGTGGTCAAATCATGATCATGTGCCGTCGTTTGAAATTTAATGAAACTGTATCCAATTTATTGATCGCACCATCAACGCTCCTTTTAGTTTACTACACGTAGTTAAACAAAGAAAGAAAAGCTAAAGGTCCCTTTCGTTTAACTTCGTTTTTGAAGTGCTCTTAGTTCTCCTGCGTAAAATAATTCTTGAATATCCAAACATCTTCTACATAACGTCAATTAATATAGTTTTCATGAAAAGCGTTTCCGCACCTTTGATCGTATTCCATCCAACATTTCATTCATCTGTCCTATGAACTCTTTACCAGGTACATTGAGGTTAGTCAGCTGATCCGTGATTGAGGTTAAATCCATGCTTTCCAGCTTTGAAATGCCTCTCTGTACCGTAGCTGTTTACAGATAGACAAGGACGGAATGAAAGGAGTGGTTTCGATTGATTCAGTGAACACATAAATATGCACACTAACACAATATCACATAAGAAATTACTTTTTGGATTTTTGTTAAAGCTACGGTATTTTTTGTCACTGCTTCAAGACATGCAATACAATTCATAAAGGGGCAACAGCATGTTCAGTGAAACCTTTATTTACGGTTATGGAAAAAAATAAAGAAAATAAACCCCTCGATTATTAAATAGAAAACAGAAATATGGGTTGTTCTGTGAGTAAGATAAATGACGTAACCTGTTCTTTCCACCATTGGGGCGGTGGGGTTGCCTTGTGACAAGGTCTCAAGGACTGGGGTGTTCGCTCATCACGCTGAAGACCCGGGTTCGATTCCAAATATGGACACAATGTGTGAAGCCCTTTTCTGCTGTCCCCAACCGCGATATTGCCGAATATTGCTAAAAGCGGCGTAAAACAGTACTCACTCACTCACTTACATCCATAGACAAAATCTGTGACAATACATAAAACATTACCTACAAAGTACTCTGTTCTATTTACCAGAAATATCTCGTGTGTGCCTCCTGTGAAAAGCTAGGTTCCTGATGATCTTGATGTCCCTGTGACACATGGATCTGTAGCATGGTTTAACAGACAGTGAGATGACCAATCCACCTCCCTGTATTTCCACTGAACTCTTGAGACTAAAGGAGATTGGTCCAAGTTTAACCCCAGTCCTTGAGACCTTGTTACCTTAAAAAAAAAGATACTGTACGATTGTATGTGTTGCATCAATATGAAAAGGACAATATTAATCATTATGCCAGCCTTGTTTCTTGAAGACATTCACTTCTAAAATACCAGTATCAATATCTATTACTTATGCTTTAATTTCGTTTAGTGATGCAGAAGAATGGTAATACTAGTTAACAAAACGTATTTTAAGGGCATGGATGTTTTGGATTTTGGCAATATCTTCAGACAATAAGCAATAAAACACTTCCAATAATCATAAGAAATCCCCAATGTGCGATAATAAAGCAGAGTCGATTGTACAATTCGAACTACATCATGAACATGTGTTTATGAATCACTCTCAAATAGTGATTATACTAGTATACCATGTGTTCGCGAACGGTGGACGTATCTTGCCCCTCCGGTGGCCCCCTTTGCAGGACATGCAAAGGCAGGTTAATTGTTCACTGAAAGGCATGTCTGCCATAAAATATTTTGAAAACTTTACTGATGTACCCATCATGAAACATGTTTTGAGCAAAAAAGACTATACCGATTGTTCCTCAAAAGATTTGAAATGCTGGCACCAAAGGCTATTGGACAGTTGAACTTGTCTTGCGGGGAGGTTTTGGTCACTCTGAATCTTTTTGCACATATCGTTATGAAACAGATGAAGCAGTTTCATTTGTCTCTTTCATTTCTAGTTCAGGTTGGTAAATCAGTTGCAGGGAAATAACTATTTCACCATTACTGAAGATCATCGACATTACTGAAGCTTAATACTGAAGCTTACTTATTGAAGCTAATTAAAACTTCTTGGCCACATTCGTACGCACAAAGAAACAGATCAGCAAGCACCATAATTCCACATATTCAAATGAAACGCCTTTACTATCACCATTGCATCCAAGTTAATAGAATACAAGCAATTCCTGAAAAGCTGAATACATTAGAGAGCACATCCTGCAAATGCAATGCTGCACATATCATCCATCACCAGTGATATTTCGACAATTGACAATAATGTCACTTTACAAAAATATTTCAGAAAGGCCCCACACAACATAACCAATGCAAAATCAATTTAGACAATAACTTGCTCTTTTGAAGTGTTTGCAAAACGAGAGTAAGAACCAGTTGAATGTCACTCTGAGTGGATGAAATTCATTTTCATAGCATGTGATATTAATCCATTTAAGCTTTTGTACCATCGTGTACAACAAGAGCGGTGATTTAAATTTCCCAATCCTCAATCTCAAGAGCACCTCTAGCTTCAGACAAGTACTTTTCTCAATTGCTTAGATACTTTGCAGTATGTACAAGATTTTTTTTCAAATTTCTTTGAAAGACACATTTTGCTTACATCATGGTCTATTTGATGAAGGTTTCACCCTCGTAGGCCTTGGCAAGTCATTGCGAAAAAATAATAAAATAACAGTAGACCCTCAGAAGAATCGACAAAATATGACATATTGCTTATCAACATGATGAGAGTAAGCCACATTTTTCTAAGAGTTGTGCCAGTGGTTGGTGCAACCGGTAGAGCAGGCTATGTTTAAATGTTTCGCGAACACATGGTGTCATTTCTGATTTATTCATAATTTTCATCTCAATCTATTTCGCAAGATTTTCAAGACTGTTTATTCGCTGACGTTGAATTAGTTAAATTTATTGTTTGATGCAGATGGTTTAATATTTTGGCTGTGTCGGCCTGTGATACTACAATGAACCTCATGAGTGACTGACATAAATTACGTATTACTTGACCATTGACATTCGTAAATTAAGGATCCATGTCATTACCTCTGGGGGCAATCTTTCCTTCACCATTTAGTTCAACATCAACTTTTGCCTCAAGAGGATGAACCCTGACTTTCAATGAGATCCCACCCTGAATACGGCTGAGCGGTATATCGATATGACAGGCGAATCCAAGACAATCCTCATCAGCAGTACACATCTGATCATGTCCAAAAAGGAAGCCCGTCTTGAAATGAGCACACTCTGAAAACAAAATGCGACCAAATGGATAAAAGGTAAATTACATTGTAATATTAACTTACCACCACTGCCTGATCATCGATCCCAATTGCGTGGATCGATGCTCATGATATCAATCACTGCATTGTCTGGTCCAGACTCGATTATTTACTGACCGACATCATATATACTGAACAACAAAAGTTCCCGTGACATTGAATAAGATTTAATGCAAAGTTATGTTTTTTACTTAATCTGAAACAATTTCGGTTTGCACCACTGTAAGTGTTCACATTGTTTAATTTGCCATATTGACTTTAGAAAATGCGTGATTTCATAAAAAATCATGAACATGCCAAAATGTCAATTTACAAATCAATAGCGTGTGTGTCCACCTCTGGTTGCGATTCAAGCAACACATCTTCGTCTCATGTAATTGATCTGTCCATATCTGCTGGAGCATGTTTCGAAGTTCCTGGAGTGTGGAACACGTGGATGACGTCGAAGGCGCCGATCCATCTCATCCAACATGTGCTCGTTTGGTGAGAGATCAGGGGAGCGAGCCGGACAGGGGTTGACATTCACGTTGTTTTGTTGAAGGGAATCCTGAACAAGTCGAGCAATAAGAGGCCGGGCGTTGTCATATTGAAAGGTAATGCCTGGGCCATGACGACGCAGTAAAACAACAGGGCCGATGATCTCGGTGCGGTAGTGCTGTCCATTGAGATTTCCCTCTACCACTATCAAACGGGTCCTCTGTCTTGCTGTAATCCCACCCCATACCATAACGCTGCCGCCCCTGAACCTCGACGTCGGTACACTCGAATCCGTCGATCGCTGTGGCTGAGGTGAAAACGAGACTCGTCAGTAAATAAAGCTGGTCCGCACTGCATGGCCGTCCAGCGTAGACGCTGTCTGCACCACTGTTGACGTGCTTGACGGTGGTTTCCTGTCAAAATGGGAGGTCTGGGGAGTCTTCTGGCGACAATCCCTGCACATCTGAGGCGGCGACTTTACGGTTTGTGAAGATTTTCGTCGAAGGCCAGGGATGCTTCTTCCAGTCACTGTTGCTGGCTGGAATCGATTTGGTAGGTGTGTTGTTCGAATCTAATTGTCTTGTTGATTATTGGTTACGCGTGGCCTGCCACTCCGAGGATGGTCTCTGACTGCATTCGTCTGTTGCCAACGTTGCCATAAACACCAATTGGTGTTTCTGTGGACGTTAAATTGACTCGATCCGATCAAGCATACCAATGGCTCGCAGACGCTCATTTTCGAACAGGCGTGGCATTTCGTAATGTTGAATAATTGCGTAATTTTGTTGTTTTTCTGAGTGGTTGTTGTCAGCACGATGCTAAACAATGCATATGTAATCCCGATAACGCACATGTTTTTTATACCCATTCTTTGGTAGTAAAATGCATAGGGCATTCATAAAAGTCAACTTTTGCATGGAATGCATGCTTTTCTGTAGCAGTTGCGTTTTTGTGACTTGATTCCATACATGTACTACAATATTGAAAACCAAACTTTACTTGTTTGAAACATACACTAAATTATTGGTGTCACAGGAACTTTTGTTGTTGAGTATAGCTGTAATATTGTTAAGTTCGGCGTTCAACAATCAACCAACCAACCAACCTGATTTTTAGTATGCCAATGTAGACAAGTGTGTAGTTGCTCACGAACGAGATGCCACTTTTGACAATGTCTCATTTATACTAGAGTATCTTAGCATAGTGAGTTTAGTTTAACACGACTTTGAACAATATGTTAGATATAGGAGGACCTGTCAGCTTGATGCTTGATGTGGGAGTGAAGCATGAAGTAATGCATGTCTCAAACGTTTACTACTTCAGTGAAACCCACAAGCACAGGTATAGTACTAACAAACCAACGTGCATAATTAGGGTATCTCTGTTCTGCGAAATTTAGCACCTTGCTCTACCCTTCAGTCACATGCAGCTACATAATACAAACCATAGTTTCTGATATTAAGAGTACGTACAGGTCAGTGAGCGAAGTTTGACCATGTAATTTCATATTATCACATATCAATAATAACAATGCTTTCCTTCATAAAGTAGTTAAACATTCCTTATGCAGCCCATCTTCCCGAGGAAAGAGAGTTAACTGACTATAAAAGTCCAGTTTCCACCCTTTACCGAACTAGGCTGGTATCATGGAGTTACATCAAGGTGCTCACGTGATTTGATGCATTTCGCGATGTAAGATCACAATATAGATCTTGATTATCGATAAAATTGCCCTAACTCGACGCCACCATTTTGTGTGAAGCAAACGCAAGTGATGAGAGAGGTGGAATCTGATTGGTCCATAGGAGAGGATTAAAAGGGACATAACTGGCAATAGCCACTGGTGGCGCTACGATCGTGCCGAGTAATTCCAGCCTAGTTTTGCAAGGGTGGAAACTAAACTTTCATTGCTCTCTCTCAAACATATATATGGTTGCTGAACAGTTTCATGTGAACACAAATTGATGATTTACTGGATATGTGGCTCTTACTTTTAAACATGGAAGTCTTGAGGAGAGATGTGCTTGCTAGTCTCCCTCCTTTGGGTAGGATTCCAAATCTTCCAAGATGTTTACCAAGACCACCAGTTGCAAATGTTTTCAATTTTCCGAATGGCACTTTCTTTAGTAATGACGTTGCATTTCCAAGCAAACGAGACAGTTTTGGAAGACGAGTTTTCAAGTGGACATTTGATCGTAACATCTCAGAAAATGCTCCAAAAGCCTTCTTCTTGACATTGGCGTTTATTGATGAGAGGAAACTATTCATGTGTCCCCTGAAATTCAGCATTGGTTGATTAAAATATTTCAATAAAATAAATATTTTTAAAACACATTATTAAACTTCATAACATGATATATTTAAAGGCAATAAGGTGACATTATGACAAACAAATAAAGAAAATGACTATTAATATCATGCATGGAATTCAGACAGTTGGTAAGACAAGGAGCATGCTCATATGCAAATGAAGTCACACAAGAGTTAGGTCCATACAGTCATTAGCAAGTGTCTCCACATAATCTATTGATGCAGGTCAAACACCTTCGCCTCGGTGAGGCCACTAAACTTTGAAGAAAGGTTTTCCATATCTAAGGAAGGATAAGCGGGTGCCCCTGCAACGTTGCTGGGGGATTTGGAAGATGTCGTAATTCCATTTCATCCCAACAGATAAGAGGTCCAGGGTAACACATTCACGATATTCTGAGGCAGACGTTGCTGTACAATTATAGCAACATGTGGTCTGGCGTTATTATCCTTGTATGTCACTCCAGGGCCTTTCTGTTGCACACACGGTGAAATCTCATCCTGGACTCTCGCAAGCATTCAAATGCCCACCAAACACAATCATTTGAGTCCTCAAAAACGATCGCCTTTAAGTACACATGGCATAACACAATGTTCACCTCAACATCTGCATGTGTCATGCTTTATTATCGTTGAAGAAGGAAAGATGTCTCATTATTGAAGAGCAGTTTGTCCTCTGACAAAAGTTGTCTGCTCCAGTGGAGACATAGACGTTGATGTTCTGCCGTCGCAGAAGCTCCTATATTGCCCATTATAATACTGGCTGAGAGTTGCTATCAGAAATAAGTGTCGAAGTTGAGTGGTTCGAATCCGTATCTCTTGAAGAGGGTTATCATGGATTGGAAGTCACTACAGGGGTCTCTGACGTATTTTTTCTGTTGATATTGTTGCCATAAGTACCACGATACTTCCTGCTGACATTATTCATCGTGACATCTTTTTATGGTTCCATACTAGTCTTAAAATATAAATCTGTGATAATCTAGTTATTTTACTTCCTTTGGCGACAGGTTTTATCAAATTGTATGTACTATTACTGTCTAACTTGATTTAGTCACGATATGGCTGAAATATTGCCGATGTGACGATCAATATTCACTCATTCACTTCCTGCGGTCATAGAAATAAAGTGCGATGTCATTTTCACTGAGGCGTGGCATGCTGTCATCTCATAAGAAAAGTGGTTTTCTAAACTCTTCCAAAGACTGCTTAAAGTGGCAAAGTCATGTTCTTAGCTATCTTAGAACATTTGAAGCAATTTATCCCGAATATTCGTTATTTATTAAACCTATGGAATATGTGCAACATTTGTTTGGTAGCATTTCTTCGACCTTTTTCATAAACCATTTTCAAATCCAAATATTCATAAAAGGGCCTGTGTGTGAAAAAGATCCTTGTCACAAAACTTTTGCCTTTCAATAGGCATTTCATCTCGATCATAAAACAAATAATACGGATAATTACCCTAATCCTGTGAACAGCTGGGTGACATCAGACAGAGATCCAAGCTTACTGCTAATAAAGCTCATAGCCTTCCCCAACGCCGAATCGGGAGGGATAATTTTGTTGAGCAGATTAGCAGCATATCCTTTCAGCCAATCTAATGCTTCTCGTTTCAGCTTCCCAAGGACTTCTGACAAGGCATTAGGCATTGATATTAGATCAGCAACTTGTCCAATGTGTTTAAAAGTGAAATCTTTGCATTCCTGGTGCCAAACAGGTTTCAGTTTCACAGTATCGACAAAGGGTGACGGGTCCATGTAGAAGCACATGTCATTACCGGTACCTTGAGATTTCTTCTTGACAGCAAGATGAATGTGAGGCCAGTCACACCCGTTCTTACCGCCCGATGTTCCTATTTCCTGTGCCTGTTCAAAATGTTTGTCCTCATTCCCGACAGAGGAATTGATGTTGGCTATAATAATCTCATATTGCTTGAAGTCTCCATCGGTTGGTTTGATCGTGACCTCTGAAGCTCCTGTTTGGCGAACTATACCAGCTACAGGGTTTATGACCTGGTGGAGGAATAGTGTATATATAATGCCATTCGATGTGCTTAAAGAAATAGTTCAACAGACACCAATCTTAAAAGGTACTTGTATATCTTTTGACTATTACTACTGTTTTGTGTGTGTGAAAGTATCGTTGGAATGGAATTCACACTATTAAAAACAATGTGTCCTTCGAAATGACTTGATATTTCCCTGCCAATTGTTGTATAAATATATTAGAACAAAAACTTAATGTTGACTTGAAGTGGGAGGACTCCTTTGACGCCAGTTACTGATGTTCGGTGGGGTTTGGTAGTTTCCCACATGATGGTATGGTCTTAGTGATTGATGAAGGTGCGGATTTCTGGTCAAGTTTCTTGACAGGTCCCTCAAAAGACCCCTCAACATCCGCAATTTCTGAAAACATCATCAAGAACCAACCACACCATCACGTGGGAAGCTTCCAAGGCCATGTCCACCTACAACAATTGGCGTCAAAGGGAACTACAAGATGCCTTGACATCAAGAGATACCAGCCAGCCATGAACCATAACCAGAGATCATATCTGCCTATTGCCTTGACTTATTGATTGATTGAATCTGTACCCCCTATCAAGGCTGATCACCCAGCTGACTTCTATTTGTCCAGTGCTAATTATCCCCCTGCCGTGTATTAGTCAAAAACTTATTCCAATTAGTGTTAATTTAACTCTGCGCTAATTAACCCTTGGCTTCCTTTGTTAAATTTCCACCTTTGTCATCTTATTACTTTTGTTGTTTTAACATTGGCACATTTCGAACAAAGTCACTTCCCCAAGGATATACCACATGTGTTGCATGTGTCTCAGTGTGGGGCAGGACCGAATCCCCTGAAACCTGAGCCAAGTTGCCGAAACGCGAAGGACTTTCCGTGACCGACGTTGCTTAACTTCACATGATTTATGATCTATGCACAGGACACCGTGCCATCACGTTGACCGCTGTTTGTAAATGATCAATCTGCAAAGGGTTCGAATAAATAATCGAGTCTGGTCCAAGCAATCCATTGATTGATATCATGCGCATCGGTCAACGCAATTGGCATTGACATGCATCAACAAAGTCAGTGAGACTGACAACCCAATCCCGTTAGTCGCCTCTTCCGACAAGCATAGTCGCCTCTCATGACAAGCATAAGTTAGTGAAGCCCTATTCTACCCCGGATCTTAAATGTTATAGGTTAGTTTTTACATCAGTAGATGCCATGCGCATATATAGCTTTTGTTGTGTTGGATGTATTAAGAATTTTTTTTTTGCAATTTTATATCACGCAGGTATTTGTCTTGCACACAGATCATCCACAGAAGACTTTCATCTTCAACATACCCCTCTTCACATTTGACATACTTATGATTTCTAGGAAGATTAAAATGTCTACCCGTTGCTATCTTAAGATCATGATAATTATAACGAAATTGTGATAATGCAATACAAAATTTAAAGGTGTAACATACATCTTTCAACAAAAATATATAAAATCCATACCTTCCACCCTTTATTCAACACGAGATCGATTCCCGCAGTTCCATACTTGCTCCTAGTGCCAGAGGGATATGTCCCTTCACCGCAGTTAGAATCTGAAGGACGTCTTTGACCAGGGAATGAGGGATGAAACTTTGATCCAAACAGGGACTGTATCGTAGACTTCATTTTCTCTATCCTGAGGATTTTAAAAAGGAAGTTGTAAAAATTAGTGCATATATGATATGTCTTTTTTATCGGGTATACATTCAAACTGTTAGAATTAGAAGCACGGGACAGATAATAAGTATGACATCAGTTTTTTTGTTTTGTTTGTTGTTTAACGCCGCACTCAGCAATATTCCAGCTATATGACGGCGGTCTGTAAATAATCGAGTCTTGACCAGACAATCCAGTGATTGACATCATGAGCATCGATCCACGCAATTGGGACCGATCACATACATCAACCCAGTAAGCGAGCCTGACCACCCGATCCCGTTAGTCGCCTTTTACGACAAGCATAGTCGCCTTTTACGGCAAGCAATATCAAAATGTCAAAAGTAAAAAAGAACGCCGATGCAGGTGCCAAGCAGAAAATAATAATTCTACACGAATTCCAACTCGTAACATGTGGCATTATAAAAGTATATTGTTGTCTGTAATTTTACAGAACATACATAAGCTTAATTATTATTCTGAAGATATTTTAATTTGAATTCAATTGCAGAGCTACATATCCTCCAAAATATCCATCTTTAGGATTTTAGTTTAGAATTTCCCAGTATGTCATGCATGAGGTAAGAGCTGATTAAATTTGGATTGTTTGTTCAGGCTCTGCAACTGTGATCTCAGTTTGCCCATTGCCTATCATTATAACCCAATGTCATGGTTCGTTACTCATGTTTTCAGGCTCTAGTTGACATGGTTGATATTATTTAAAGACCACATAAATATCAGCACCCTGAGTCTTTTGTTTTTGAGCAGGTGATGGTTAATCGTTGTCCACATGTTTCACTTAAAAACCCAAAGAAGCATCCTTTAAACGTTTTAGGCTCATCATTTAACTCGGTTGGAAGGGTAACAGATAGACAGATTATGAACAACTTGCGATACCATCAACTCATATAGACTTCGGCATTTTGTCTATCAATGCAGAAACAGTCCCAACGCTACTTACGTCTCTTGAAACACTTTGAAGTTGTATTGTATTTTGTCAGTTGTGAGCTTTTGATGGTCAAGTCCTTGTTGGAACGCTTGCGGCTCTTTGTCCCTCAGAGATTCCAGTTTTGATATGATTTGGCTGGCCTTTGTCTCAACTTTTCTGAATATTTCATCTGCTGAATCCCCCTGTATATATTCTTTCAATTTAGAGCGATGTTACCTGTGTGTGTCACATAATGTTGTAATCTATCTGTAGTATCTAACAATCTAACAATTCTACTGCAGATTGCAGGCCATTGTGTGAGGCCAAAATGCTCCGTGTCACATGTTGAGCAACAGTTATAACCTCGCAGACCACAATAGGAACTATTGTGACGCATGTATTATCGCATCACAGGACAAAAGAGGAGAGTGAAATGTAAAGCAGTCTGAGGAACCCCAAAGGAGATAAACATATTGCGTTTACAATGCAGAGCTAGGTTGGCTGGTTGGTTGGTTTGTTGTTTAACGCCGCACTCAGCAATATTCCAGCTATATGACGGAGGTCTGTAAAAAATCGAGTCTGGACCACACATTCCAGTGATTGACATCATGAGCATCGATCCACGCAATTGGGATCGATGACATTTATCAACTAAGTCAGCGAGTCTGATCCCCCGATCCCGTTAGTCGCTTCTTAAGACAAGCATAGTCCCCTGTAGCGGCAAGGATGGGTTGCTGAAGATCTTTTCTACACCCGGATCTTCACGGGTCGCAAAGCTAGGTTACCTTCAGACTAAAATTGAATTTGGAGCCGAACGTCAAGCATATGTTTCAAATATTATTTTAGCACAGTTAAACCGACCAGGTAACGTAGCTGTACCATCACGAAAATATACGCACGCTCTTTGGTGTTGACGAAAATATTCAGTTCAGTATTTTCAATGTATGTCGATTAGAATTAGGAAACCGCAACAAGACTTTGAAATAAAGAATGGATGGCGCTGTAGATACATGTACGTGCGCATCAAATTACTTTTCTCGCATGTATCACATGAAAGCCTTCTCTTCACTCAGAGGTGGTGTTTATGATTTAAAACTTCTGATTAACCAGTCATATTATTATATATATTTGTAGAGTGTGTCAGTGACTGCAAATGGTTGAAGCGTTCGTGAAATATCTAAGGCTGCCTCGGCCACCTTATAACAGGCTTAATTGTTTCGGGGTGACACAGTTTTCTAGAAAGCTGGCTGCATGTAACAGCAACAAGAGGACGATTCCAGGCATTCTTATGACCTAATTTTCATCGTGTCTACCTGTCCAATGCACCTGGGATACCTACATTCGTGTATCTGAAAACATCCAATTTCTGCCAGTTTCAAACACAAAAGCAGAGACTATTTCACGATATTCGGCAGTGAACTGCTACCACCCATCTGACCCATTAGATTGCCTATTGTGATTGTAAATCTACAATTGTGTGCTTACGTATAATTTGTGTATTACTCATTGGTCTTACGTGTTCAGGGTTAACCTTGGGGTTTCAATTGGTAAAACACCTCATAACAATATATACATGAGATGCCGTTTGATCATTGAGCTCCGAGTATTATATTACTTACCACTTTTGAATAATTCAGTTAAAGAGACAGATCTTGCTTTGAGCTGTACGTACCACTTTGTCGAGAAGATCATTAACCTGATGAAACGGCGAAGGTGTCCTCTTCTTCCTCCTGTGTCTTTTGAACCCAGATGACAAAACGCTCTTTACTGAAGACATGACGTGGGTAATGTCGCTTCCCGCTGACATCCACGATGAACTTTGCCCTTCAATAATGATGTATCTTCAGTGACTAAACATATGACAAGTAAATTGGCGTCTGCACGCTGCCGTTTAGACACTACCCCACATCTTCCACCTATGTGCAATATCGTTAAAAGTTCAGGATATAATTAATATTTTGAAATGTTCTAACGAGCATGCCATGGACTTTAGAAAGAAAATACTCCTTTTAGAACAACCCTACTTGTAGACACAATAATTCCAGAAATGGTGAAATCATAACATACCGTGAATGTTCTTGCATTGCATTTAAAACATCCTTTGAATAAATTGAAGATATACTTTGGAATATTAGGAACATGCAATGAAATGCGTTTGTTTTTTTGTTTTGTAAATTGATAATAAACTGACATGTACAATCTCATGTGAATGATTTAATAAATAAAAACAACAATAATACTAATTATAATTGTCTTTAATATAGATGGAAAAAACTTCAGTCGGGAAAGTTTCGTCCCCATTTTGCACAGTTAACCCGAATGCATAAACAATTTATCCTATTTTTGGTGGAAACATTGCAAACAGATACAGGTTTCCTTGATTTCGTAGACAAAATTCTTGCAAGATACATACGTTATATCTTATTAATGGTCAAAACTAACCGAGGCTAATTATTGTTTTGACTACCTTTATGCAAACCATACTATATTGATTCATGTTTGAACATTTTAAAGAATAAATGATAAAATGAAGTCACCTTTCAGCAAAGAAGTTGCTTTTCTGATGATAGAATTTCCTGAAAAAATTCTACCCATTCCAAGCTGGAATCTGAAATTAATATTTTGTCAATTAGTAAGTAATTCATTAAACTATAGATTACGTGATGAGGAAAATAAAAGGAAATGAAACTTAAAAACTATGCCTGTGTGTATAAAATTTAAAAACCATTAGGCATGTTAATGGATGTTTACTTTTGTTGACACCAGTGAGGTTGATGAATTGGGATCCTATAAACACATTTCGTTTTCATTATTATAAGTAATCGCTCAGAAAAAATAAGATTACCCAAGTTTGGCCTTTTCCAAGTGTGAGAAGGCTTGCTTTGGATATTTGGATATTTTGCCCATCAGTTTGGTTGCTGAATTGACACTATCCATTATTTCCTTCTCTCCAACCGGCAAGGCCACGATACTTGCGTCAGATATTTTCTGTAATTTCGAAACTATACCTGAAAGGTGTTTGGATTACATGCAAAAACAGGTGCAGCCCCCATCCCATCTTTTCCCGAAGGCCCCGACATTTCCACATAAGAAACATGTATTATGAACCATTTTGACATCGTGAGGTAATAGTTCGCCTCGCTATGCCCAATGCAACAGAAAGTCAAAAGCCGTAATAACAAAGTTGGGTGCACTTCCATTCAATAAAATCACTTCTGGCTAATGAAACCACGTGACCAATGCAGTACGGCCTCTGGCTACCTCAGTACCAAAGTTATATGCACTTCCGGTTTAATAACCCTGGCTTTTAATTTCAGGATTGAACTACCATGTATACAAGTTTTGTCAAATTCCAATTATATATGCTCAAGATATCATGTTTACACAAGAGTTCGGGGATGCTAAGATCCCAGAGAGTGACACTCAACAACAAGCAATCATATGCGATGCGAAACTTCTTCAAAACGCATGTGGTGTTAGAAATATTAAGTTCCCACACTTTTTCCATATTCATACTGAAAACAAAATAAAAGCGACAAAGCCCTTTCAATATCATAAGAAATCTCTACTAATAGCAGAGTCGATTTTACGATTCCGTCTATATCATGAGCATGTGTTTAAGAATCACTATCACAAACACACACAAAGGCAAGTCAATTGTTCACCATTGTGCCAGTCAAAATAAGGAATTGCATTGGACACAATTTTTGTCACTGATGCTTCAAATTTGGAAATGTCCTCCACATGTCTACCATAAACGTTTTGAGAGCTTGATGCCTTGAATGTTGTCATCATGAGGCTATAGTGAAAGAGTATGCACGATTCTACATAAAATATTGTGAAATGTAGACAGTGAAGTCAAGTAATTTCTTGAGTGAAAGAACCTCAAACCTATTTTGACATTTGACAAAAACATGACATGTGACAGGCTCTGTGTCAGTTACTTTGATTGTAAAAAGCATTGAGTAGATTAATCTGAAAAGTCAGGAAATTGAACCATGTTCCATAAGTTAATGTCTTGTTACTTGACCTCATAAAGATGTCACCCGAAAGTTGATGTGAGTGAGACTTCCTCCTCAGGGATCATATATAATAAGTTTCAAGTGTTTGACGCCCTAATATTGAGTTACCTTGCCCTTCCACGTCATCCAATCACATGTAAGAACATCACTTTTTGACCTTCAAACTGATCTTGACATTGACACAACCATGACATATGACAGGTCATGAGTTAATTATTAAAAATAATTCCTAGGTGGCAGGACAATGCTCAGAATTAATCGAAAATTTCGTGAAATTTGACCATGTTTCATCGTTTGAATTCAAGTGACCTCTAGCATTAGAGTTCATGTATAAAAAGATTAAACAGATTCCATTAATAAAAATACAATAGTTATATATATATATATATATATATATATATATATATGATATACGTTTGTATATTTTACAACGTACATTATTGTAAAAGTACATTTTAAAATGGTGTAATTTCCGTAACACCTTAATTGTTAATGTTGGGACTTATTTGATTGACAGAATGATCGTTATTTAGATTGTTAATAAGGCAGCACTCATCAATATTCATTTATAAGACGACGGTCTGTAAATACTCAGTTATAAACCGGACAAAGCGGTGATTGATCTTAGAAGCAACATCACATGCCGCCGTGAGTGAGTGAGTGAGTGTGTGTGTGCGCGTGCGTGCGTGCGTGCGTGCGTGTGTTTCTTGCCACTTTAATGAACATATTCTAGCAAATTAACGACGGCTTTTACATACTTAAGTCTGGATCCGTCCTTACAGTGACTGATCTGACTGTCACAACGACTGAGCAACGATCTGAGCCGTTGGAGTGCGTTACAATTGACACGCTATCGGCCAAGGCTCCGAACATGACCCACACGATCCATTAAGTCGCCTCTTTCGACCATCATATGTTGCTGAGAACCAATTCTAACCTGGAATCCACACAGATTTTAGATATTTAAACAGACAACGCATACTGTTTTAAAAGCCCATGTCAAAAACACATGCATGTTATAGAAATGTAGTATCATTATTACCTTGTAGAAGTTGAGGGCATCAGTATTTATTCCTTCTACCAACGCTTGTGCATGATCCACGGCTTGTTGCAGTCGGGTCACCCATGGCATACTTTGGTACTGCTGAGTGAGAGTATTTAGTTCCAACACCGAAGACAGGGCTTCATCTGTTTTGGCTGGTATATCTTTTACCGCACTTGCAAGTGGATCAAAGTTGCTCTTCGTGGTTTTGCCATCAGGTTCCAAAAACTGAGAGGTCATTCTAGTGGCTTCATCGGTCATCGGCTTCATGATCTCTTTAGCTATGTCATCGTAGGCCCCTGCAAGGTTCTGTGCTAACCCGACGCTCATGTCCTGGAATATAATTTAGTATATGATTCTAGGGGTGTTCATATATTATCCTTGAATTTGCTAGGTTTAACGAAAAGAATAAAGACACATTTTAATACTTACCTTAAATTTGTTTGCATTGTATTCCAATCTGCCCTTGTAACACAGTTCAATTAGGAGGATGTCGATATGCTTGTCAATGATGCCGAAGTGTGCCTCAGCCCATAATTTGTCATGGATATCAATATCAATAAAACCGCTAAGAGGCCCTGAAAGAAGATCACTCTGTCTTGTGAAAAAAAGAAGTTTTATCGTTGAATATCAAAGCAGTGTGCACCTCATGGACGCACAGCAGTTGTTTCTAATGTATATACAAAATACACATAATTCATTTAAGCAAATGACCCATGATATTTCAAGAAAACAAATTAATTGAAAAATAACGTTCTTCATACAGGACACATGATTTGGCTTCAGTCAAACGCAAGTTGTTTCAAACAAGGTAAACAAATATTCAAAGAACGACTGATTAGTTTTTAAGCAAAGAGAAGCGTAATCGATCTGTAAAATACACGTGCGTGTATTGGCAAAGGTGGATCCCACTGATAATTAAAACTCAGACACTGTAAATAGAAAATAGGAATCTTTGGACAACATCAGTCAACTTATATTAGTGTTCCACATCTGATATACTACTAAGTGGCTGGAATCCGGAATCAGCACAATGTTAGTCGTTTTGTATACAACTTACGGAACACTGCAGACATTTCATTCTCAAAAAGGACACCGAAACTGGCTCCAATTGCACTGCTTCCTATCTCTTTTTTCCAGTCCACGCGTGGCAAGCCTATTCTAAACTGGAAGAGAATAGCATCTAACACACTTCTCCTTAGTCTTGCAATGACTGGCCATGCGTATGTGTGACTGAAACATAATCAAACGCATTTCAAGTATAACCCTTGCCACATCACCAAGATGGAAATGTTCTTTGGTTTCAAAAAAGTTCAATAAAGTTGTGAGAAGGAACATGGTTCAGAACTTATGAAGGAATTTTGTAATAGTTATACAGAAGTCAAAGTGTCTCTCATATGCAATCACGTTCATATTCCCCGCCCGTTGAAGATAACACTGTTTAATAACAATTAGCTGGTATTACACAATATCAAATTAATCACATTCATATCAAAGCGCGTGCTTATGTACTTCGGGAACCAGTTTCACAAACAAATATTGAAAACTCTCAACATCCCTGGGATTTTACAATGACATTGCGTGTAGAGATGATATATCATTGAGAGGAGCTTATGCACACTCGTTGGACCTGTCAACCTTGTTACTAGGTTGACGTCACATGACATTGTCTCGCTGGTATATCTTGCAACAATAATTCACAAATTACGTCACACGGTATTGTGACGTGTTTGTAAACCTTGTTGTGTGGGGCAAGATCCACAAAGCGATCGTAGCGCAACGACAGTCGTAAGTCTATGTTACGTATGTATGTTACGCTCACCTGCGATAGCTTTGTCGAGCGGACCCCTGAATACTAAAGGTGTGAAGTTGTATGGTATGAAATTAACAGGTGTTAACATTTAATGTGTTTGAAGTAATGTTCTGTTAAATTGGATTTACTCACGATAGTCAAACTTAACAATACACGGCAAGTAATAAATATAATACTAAACTCGATCCTGTGTAATACCAATTTTATGAATCTCGTGAATAGTTCTGGTATAACACGCGACCTCGTTTAGCATGCTTTATTTCTTCTATGAGAGTCTATTTCGAAGAACGTTTCGGGGACAATCCCAATACCTGAGAATGATGTTTTCTTGTTCACGTGTCAGGTTGTTTGCCCTTGGGTGCCTGATGTACAGATATTTGGCCGCTCTTCTCACACTCTGCTTGTCGTCTCGAAGAACACTCTCAAGCAATGCTCCCGCACTCTGTTAAAAAAGTTCAGAATTATATGTACGTATATGAATGTTACATGTTTAAATTTGTTACATGTATAGTGACTGGTGTCTGTCCTTGCAAAATATTTTTATGAACTTTAAGTTGAACACCATATGCTTTTTGTTGTTCAGTTGTTGTTTTTACCTGGTTACACCGATAGTGTCTGAGTGCCTCAACTGCCGCACGTCTCCAGTCGTGGTGACCCTGCCCCGGGGAAGTATGGGAGATGATCCTGTTAAGTGATTTTGGGTGCCCAGCATTTCCTAGGCTGTGGAGCAGTATTTTCTTGGAAATAATGTAGTGACTATCTTTTCCAATACGGACTGACCTTTTGTGTCTGTAGTGCGGATCTGGGAACATAGAGCATACACTTTAAAATAACTCTGTATATCATTAAGTATGTCTGAGCTGGTGTTTGCTGGGTTTAAACAGTATTTTTGTTACAACACATTATGCTAGCATGTGGATGGAAAGCGGAAAGTAATGCACAACCTAGACACATGACGCCCTTTTGGTGGAACCCATGTCTTCAGGTGGCGTACGTAACCCTAGCAGGTTGGTACATCACGTTTAAAGCAGCACAGGTAGATATCTGTCTGTTAAATGCGTGAGTGAGTATTTTGTACGCCGCTTTTAGCACTATTCAAGCAAAATCACGACGGGGGACACAATAAATGGTCTTCACACATTGTACCCATGTGGGAAATCGAACCCGTGTCTTCAGAATGACGAGGGTATGCTTAACCATTAGGCTACCCGACCGCCCCCTCTCCGCTTAAACGCTTTCCTGTGCTATGATTGATTCAACAAAGAACTTAGTTTTGAAGGTGACAGATGTACTAACCACTAAACACAAAAATAACAGATGTATTTAAAATATCCTGAAGTATGAACATTATGTAACATATCACCTAATATAAACCCTACGATTTCGAGAATTCTTTTAACTTCTACACGTCTGCACGTTAATATTGTAGCACATTAATGAGCGTTAGTCTATTTACGCATTTCATGTTTAGTAATCCATGACTCGATCTTCCCAACCAGTCTGACAGCATCCGAGGAATTCGAGTACAGATGGAGATTCCTGGCAAGAGATCCTATGGCTAAACACGCCCGTGTCTGTACCACTGTCAGATTTATTGATCCTGTCAAATAGTAATAAAAACATTTCAAACAAATAAGACGAAGAAGGACAAAAAATGATACACTGTAAAATATCAGCGACTAGCCTTTTTTTATTATGAGTTATATTCGGCTTGTATTTATCCATGTTCTAATGACATACCATGATGCTGATCTTCAATACCAAAGCAGTAATCCTCTACAGCTTGGACCACTTGCTAAAATCAGAATGAATATTTCTTGATTACTGCACTTAAATAGCGACGTGCATGTAGGTGTGTGTGTGTGTGTGTTAGTGTTAGTGTGTGTGTGTGTGTGTGTGTGTGTGTGTGTGTGTGTGTGTGTGTGTGTGTGTGTGTGTTAGTGTGTGTGTGTGTGTGTGTGAGTGTGTGTGTATGTGCATGCGTGTGTGTGTGTATGTGTGCTTGCGTTTTATAGTGCTAGCTCATTGAGATACCATGCCGCAGACTAACATGAATAGCCAACTCTCCTGACCGCTGCCGAACATTCCTTGTTATAGCCCCTTACTGCCGAGTGCGAGGCTGGTAACAGCAAGTACCATCTTTCAACGTATTTTGGTATGACGCTGCCGCTCTCCGTGGAGACCCTGTATCCTATAGACCACGGACGCAGTCTCATACATAATTAATTCAATTGTTACAAATAAGAAAATATCATGATTCTGTGTTTTAAGAACATTAGTATTATTATTGAACCAACATAACTTTATAAGGTCAATTACAATCCATATCAAAGGTGTCCTGGTAAATATATACCAACCACGATCGGCTTCTGAATTGCAATGCAGTGTATGAACACATGCCGTAGCTCCTCTTCATCAGGGTCTGTCCTGTTGAGAACACGTTTGACGATCACTTCTTGGGATATTTCATCAGCAATTCGTGCGACGATATCTATGAAGACGAGTCTTTCTACCGAACAGTTTGTCTCGACCACTCCACAAGACACGTTGAGAACTGAGTGAACAAACTCCTTGTAGTCATCTGTGTGTAGTGCTTGCAATATCTCCCGGAGCTCCTGCACACACTGTGTCCGGTTAGCGTCACCTTTACAGAATATCAATAGGACATACACATGATACAGTGGGCGTCGGTGATAGAACTTTCAAGTAATAGTGAACTTGAGACATTAGATTGCAGATATTGAACATGTTGGTACAAGAAAAATAACATGGTAATAACAATGATAAGTGAACTAGTAGTAATATTGGATAGAAACAAGGACACATAAATTGTGATGATAATGTGGATTTTTTTTTGTGTTTTGCAAATACCTTCTGGCTGTATTCATTAATGTTCACTTAATAGCTTTGGGATGTTGCTGAAAAATTTGGTTCCTATTATTCCATTAGAAATGAGAGAAATTTTAATTTCGTTTCTTTCAAATGGCTGTGTGGATACAGCTTTAATCCGTCTGAAATATTTTTATTTTAACGAATTTTACAGAACCATAAGATCTATTTTTTGCCATAATGATTTGACGATTTGAGGAAAACTATATATATATATATATATATATATATATATATATATATATATATATATATATATATATATATAGTTTTTCTCATTTTTTTCTGTGACTGGTATTTTCTATTTTCCTTCTATTTTCCTATTTTTGTTCTTTATCTGCACATGGACGACGGATTCTCGCCGCAAATACCTGTAGTATCGTTGATGCGGCGTAAAGCAATATTCAATCATTCATTCTATCAAATGGAATTTACCACTGTATATGAGTAGGATTCCATATACGGATGGTATTTACCTTTCTCGGGATACATATGAACACACTGCAGGTAGTGAGAAATGTTCTGTCGCACTTCGTGGATCCGTTTATGCACCTTTCTCTGCAATGATAAGAGTCATCACAATGCTATCAGCAGTGTTTAACAGCAATATTCCAGCCATATCAAATCAGTCTATAAATAAATGAGTCTAACCTAGATAAACCAGTGGTTGATATTACGAGCAACGCTAACCTTGTCAGGGTACGATGACACACAATCACTTGTCACAAATCACAGGCAGGCATAGGTTATGGGAGACCAAATCTACCCCGGAATACATTATTATTAACATCCAACACAAATATGTGTTTGTTCCAAAGGCTATGAAGTCTCCACTCACCATTTTAATTGCAAGTGTATCCTGAGCCAGACCCTGCACATCATCATCCTTCAGTGGACTGTTGACATAGCTATAATGAAACATATCATAAATGATACACATTGTTGCCAAAGAATGAACATTATCATTTAATATCCTGTACAGAACAAACGGCTGTTCACACAACACCCTAATTCTATTGAATACTCTTTCACGTCTGCCCGTAGTTTTGATACAATGCACAACATTTCAAAAACGAACCTTTTCCCGTCCAATTGAATGGTAGTTGTTGAAGCAGTCCATATTTCAGGAAAATCTGTTCAAATGAAGAATTTTAAACATAACTTGTCTGTGTATATATGTTTTATAATTACTTATATGCTTATTATAATTACTTACCTCTTTAACGATAAACGTACAATATATGTTTCCACATCTCAATTGCATTTAATGATCTCAGCTTTAGCACGTACCCCCGGAGGTCGATATCTCGTGAACCTTCTCTCCCGGTTGTAACGCTCTTAAAAAATAAATACGTAAAAAACATCAGCTGCACTCCAAATTCTCGTGGAATGATTTTACTGATACGTTATATTTAGTACTGAGAAGAGCAACATTTGTGTTCATGCACATTCGTTTTATCGTTGTATACAACTTGTATTTTATCCTTTTCTTATTACCCGAAGACACTTAAAGAAAAAAGCCACTGAGGAAGGCAAGGACCATATCTATGATAAAACTAAATGTATTTTATTATCTGACCTCACCTTTTCAACAATACTATTCCGGAAAATGTACTACGAATACATGCATTGAAGAACGTTAAGATGACATTAATAGAAAGACTAGAGACGTATTTTCTGACCTTGCTTTTTCCTTCACAATATGCTTTTCTTTCAAGAGGATTTTGTCATAGGCGTGACCTCTGTGTAACGTTCCGTCATCCTGGTAGTGTAGAGTCTGCGCAAATGTAATATGTTATTTAGCACATGTGTTTTCAGAACTTGTGCAAATGGAAGTTTTAGAAAAATGGTGCATTCAACTTTAATATGATTGCTGTAATGAAACAATGCCAAAATTAATCAGTTGTTGATGTTTGATCAATGTTTTGATGACTTATTTATTTCTGGAGGAACATCTGTTTACGTATCACTTAGATATTGAGTCTTGGTATTATGGTAGCATATATTAAATTATTATTTTTTAGACTAACCTTGTTAACAAATACTAAGCATAATTATTGCCAGGAAAACGAACCTGCATAAACCCTTTCATGAAAGTAGGTATAAAGGTAAAGACCTTGCACTGACTTGTTGAAACATTGACGCACACGTGTCAGTAAATGACAAGCGAATTGTTTAAGAGTGAGTGAATAAGTTAAAATGTTACATCGCATCGGCAATATTGCAGTCATACAGTAATGATAAAATAATCGACTATCACAGTGTTCTATTAAAACTAGTGAAAACTAATCTGATGATATCCTTTCTGGTACTGTAAATCAATTTGTCTCTGATTTCTTTTGTTTGGTAAAAGTCGGGTCTACCGGCTTTATAGTCGGAATTGTACAATCAAATCCGTTTTCGGCAGAGATTTCTTATGAATATGGAAAGGGCTCTTTCTGTATTTATTTTAATACCAATTGACAAGGAGGAGGATACAGCTGGCAGAAAGGAGATGTATTAAAATCTATTTGAAGCAAAATTACCAATTCTAACGATTTTTTGCATGTATAAAAAGGCTGACCCAAAACGCAGTATGGGTGCAATGTTTCTATTAAATACAGCTAGGGCGGTCTTTAATAATATACGTCACCATGGATAGATATATGAGAAACCTTATTTGTCCAAACACTGTAAACATACTTTGAGACATATTAAAAGGATGAAACTTGGCCAAACTGATCATCGGGGTTGAAATTAAAGTGTCAAATGTTCTTAAAGTGAAAGACAATACTAGTCTCTGAGAAAATGGCATCAAGAGTCTGTATCTCGTGTGTCCGCCATGTGCATTGGTGACTGCCGTGCACCGTTGATACATGGAATGGATGAGGTGGTTGATGAAGGCCATAGGCACTTGAGCCCACACTCTGAGGAACGCCTGAGGCAGTTTAGCTGCAATTATCGGCCTTGATCGGACGTCATTCAGCCGTCTTTGAATCTCGTCCCACAGGTGCTCAATGGGATGTAAATCGGGACTGAGGGCAGGTTTCTGTCGCAGTGTGGGCACGGGCGTTATCAAGCATCCGAATAACGTTCCCCACGGCGGCGGCAGACTGTTCCTTTGCCATCTGCTGTTGAGAAACAGTAACGGCTCTCTTCTGAGAAGAGAACTCTTCTCCACTGCTGGTGGCGCCAATGATGGTGCTGTGTTGTCTACTCAAGACGGTCCCGGCAATGACGTGGTGTGTCCCCATGGTCTGTCGTGACGTTTCCGCAGCAGTAACAAAGCGATCTTGAAGATGCTGTCGCACAATCTGACGATCCTGACGTCGGGTGGTGACCCTTGGTCTTCCACTACGTGGTTGGTCATCTGTAGTGTTGGTGGTCTGGTACCGTTGCCGGAGCCTGTATATGGTCCTTACGTGGACTTGAAATACATTGGCTACATGTTGGGCAGTTTGTCCAGCTTGCATTCGTCCAAGGGCTTAGTGTCGCTGATTTCTTGTCAATCTTGGCATGTGGTAGCAATTCAATAACGAATGAATGTTATCTGATCTGGGTGGATTTTTATAGGGCAAGAAATGGAGGAACGCATGTGCATTTTAAATTGCACGGAACTCACGTGCATCGCGTTACCATGGCCGTTGCCGTGATGCGTTTGGGCGATCGGTTTTATTGACGTCTGCTTTGATTTTTTATCATCAAATTTCATTTTTTCCGGTCAAGGTTATGTTAAGTTTTAGAAACTTTGACCAAACTAAAACTTACCAAGATATTTAAATGACAACTTTTCATGGAATGTTACTTGGGATGACGTTTCTTTTGCGGCTCAGTATATTTGTTTCGCCTCAAAAGAGATCACATGGGAATTACGGCATAAAAAAGCTTGACTGGCAAACGTTTCACATGATGCTGACTGATTTAACCTTGATGAAAACCTTATCCCAGGATATTTATAATAAGTACTGGTTCAAAAATTAGAATTCTTAGAAGTTATTTTTCACATTTCTTTTCAATACAACCATTTGTTTGATCCATATTTACTTCTGAACCCAATTTATCACAGAATACTTCCAAAATATTTAGTTGTATTTGTCAGAATGAAACTGTGTATGAGAACTTTACCACTTCATCAAAAAATAAGAGTAACATTATATCTTTTATACACTGTGTAACAAATATACCGTGATCAAAATTGTCAAAAATGACATTAGCTAATTTATTAATAACGTGCAATGTTTCTATTAAATACAGCTAGGGCGGTCTTAAATGCAATACGTCACCATGGATAGATATATGAGAAACCTTATATGTCCAAACACTGTAAACATGCTTTGAGACATATTAAAAGGTGAAACTTGGCCAAACTGATCATCAGGGTTGAAATTAGAGTGTCAAATGTTCTTAAAGTGAAAGACAATACTAGTCTCTGAGAAAAATGGCATCACGAGTCTGTGTCTCGTGTGTCCGCCATGTGCATTGATGACTGCCGTGCAACGTCGATACATGGAATGTATGAGGTGGTTGATGAAGGCCATAGGCACTTGATCCCACACTCTGAGGAATGCCTGAGGCAGTTTAGCTGCAATTATCGGCCTTGATCGGACGTCATTCAGCTGTCTTTGAATATCGTCCCACAGGTGCTCAATGGGACTTAAATCGGGACTGAAGGCAGGTCACTGCATGGTTCTGATGCCATTTTGCTGGAGGAAGTCTCTTGTTGCTGTCGCAGTGTGGGCACGGGCGTTATCATGCTGAAACTCGTGGTTGCGGCGACGTGCCAAATGAGGTTTAGCGTGTTGTCTTAAGACTTGATCAATGTACCGAGCTGCTGTGACATTATTGCCTCTCCCTGGACCGATGTTCTGGAAGACCACAGGGCCGACCCTCTGTGCAAGACCATTCCACCCCACACCATGATGCTCAGACCACCTCACGAGTCTCTCTCAACAACACAAGCATCCGAATAACGTTCCCTACGGCGCCGCCAGACTCTACCTCTGCCATCTGCTGTTGAGATGCAGTAACGGCTCTCTTCTGAGAAGATAACTCTTCTCCACTGCTGGTGGCGCCAATGATGGTGCTGGGTTGCCTACTGAAGACGGTCCCGGCGATGACGTGGTGTCAGAGTGGGTCCTCGGTGTGGCCTGTGACAGTGGAGGTGTCTGCACGTCTATCGGCGAAGCACGGTATCCGCACTAATGTGTCGTTTGTGTGTCCCCATGGTCTGTCGTGCAGTTTCTGCAGCAGTAACAAAGCGATCTTGAAGATGCTGTCGCACAATCTGACGATCCTGACGTCGGGTGGTGACCCTTGGTCTTCCACTACGTGGTTGGTCATCTGTAGTGTTGGTGGTCTGGTACCGTTGCCGGAGCCTGTATATGGTCCTTACGTGGACTTGAAATGCATTGGCTACATGTTGGGCAGTTTGTCCAGCTTGCAATCGTCCAAGGGCTTGGTGTCGCTGATTGCTTGTCAATCTTGGCATGTGGTAGCAATTCAATAACGAATGAATGTTATCTGATCTGGGTGGATTTTTATAGAGCAAGAAATGGAGGAACGCATGTGCATTTTAAATTGAACGGAACTCACGTGCATCGCGTTACCATGGCCGTTGCCGTGATGCGTTTGGGCGATCGGTTTTATTGACGTCTGCTTTGATTTTTTATCATCAAATTTCATTTTTTTCCGGACAAGGTAATGTTAAGTTTTAGCAACTTTGACAAAACTTACCCAAATATTTAAATGACAACTTTTCATGCAATGATACTTGGGGTGACGTTTCTTTTGCGGCTCAGTATATTTGTTTCGCCTCAAAAGAGATCACACGGGAATTACGGCATTAAAAGCTTGACTGGCAAACGTTTCACATGATGCTGACTGATTAAACCTTGATGAAAACCTTATCCCAGGATATTTATAATAAGTACTGGTTCAATAATTAGAATTCTTAGAAGACATCTTTCACATTTCTTTTCATTACAACCATTTGTTTTATCCATATTTACTTCTGAACCCAATTTATCACAGAATACTTCCAAAATATTTAGTTGTATTTGTCAGAATGAAACTGTGTATGAGAACTTTACCACTTCATCAAAAAATAAGAATAACATTATATCTTTTATACACTGTGTAACAAATATACCGTGATCAAAATTGTCAAAAATGACATTAGCTAAATTATTTATAACGTGCAATGTTTCTATTAAATACAGCTAGGGCGGTCTTAAATGCTATACGTCACCATGGATAGATATATGAGAAACCTTATATGTCCAAACACTGTAAACATGCTTTGAGACATATTAAAAGGTGAAACTTGGCCAAACTGATCATCAGGGTTGAAATTAAAGTGTCAAATGTTCTTAAAGTGAAAGACAATACTTGTCTCTGAGAAAAATGGCATCACGAGTCTGTATCTCGTGTGTCCGCCATGTGCATTGATGACTGCCGTGCAACGTCGATACATGGAATGTATGAGGTGGTTGATGAAGGCCATAGGCACTTGATCCCACACTCTGAGGAATGCCTGAGGCAGTTTAGCTGCAATTATCGGCCTTGATCGGACGTCATTCAGCCGTCTTTGAATCTCGTCCCACAGGTGCTCCGTGGGATTTAAATCGGGACTGAGGGCAGGCCACTGCATGGTTCTGATGCCATTCTACTGGAGGAAGTCTCTTGTTGCTGTCGCAGTGTGGGCACGGGCGTTATCATGCTGAGACTCGTGGTTGCGGCGACGTGCCAAATGAGGTTTGGAGTGTGGTCTCAAGACTTGATCAATGTACCGAGCTGCTG